GGGCCACAGTGGGTGCGATGGTCGAAGCCGCCGGTGTGGGAGTGGTAGTGGGCAGAGTAGTCGGCTGAAGAGTCGGCGTCGGAGTAGAAGCATTTGTCGGTTGCGGCGTGGGCGCCGTTGTCGGGGCAATGGTCGGTGCTGCCGTGGGTGCTGGAGTCGGTGCCGATGTCACGGGGGGCACCGTCGTACCAGGCACCGTAGCGTCTTTCGGCAAGAGGTTCTTGGCCTTAAGGAACTGGATGACGTTGCTGATTTTGATCGCACCGTTTGAGTTGCCGACCGAGTCGCAGAGGCCGCAGTTGTGCAGCGCGACGACGACGTTGTCTGCGGTGCTCATGATAGGCGCGCCGGAGGAGCCGCCGAGCGTGTCAAGGAAGTGGCCGACCGTGTCCCGCGCGTCCGGAAAGTTGTCCATGCAGCTGGCCTTGTCCAGGTCCGCAATCTTGGGCACCTCTCCGTCGTAGGTCAGCGAGAGCCGCTGCGCCCAGCCGGCCTCGTGGTGTGCCGACCAAATAGGCTCACCAAGAACGGGCCCAGATTCGCGCGCCCGAAGGTACCCGTACGTCGAGAGGTCGACTCCGGGCTTGAGCTTATCGAGCTTGACGAGCGCAAAGTCGTTGAGCTCGTCCCAGATGACAAGCTTGACACCGATGGCTGCGATCGTCCCGCGGCAACCCGAGACGACTTTGTTCTGCGGGTCCTTGCACGTGCTGCAGCGCGCGTCAAACTCGACTTGGGTGTTGGCAGCGCGCGACTCGGAGTTGATGCAGTGGCTGTTGGTGAGCATGTGTCCTTCTGAGCCAAAGAGCCAGCCCGTGCACGCGACGCGGCCGTTGATGAGAAGGCGCGCGACCGCGCGGCTCGCGGCGACCTTGGCGGGCTCGGTCGCTTGCGAACACACGCTCGGCCGAGACTCGTCCGTGATGCTGCAGATGGTCTCGAGCATGCCGTTCGACTGCGCGCTCCCATGGATCACCTGGTCCACTTCAAACACCGGCGCGGGGCTGCTGCTATCGTACGTCGGCGCAGAGTACACGACGTCAACGCTGTTGCACGGAAACGACTCGGTGTAAAAGTCGGCGTGGGCGCCAGTGAACGACACTTGCTTGGCGCCATCGGCACAGGCCAGCGACAGGGTCGCCGCCGGGGGCAACGCTATCGACGTGAAATGCACCGAGAGGTAGCTCGCGCCGTCGCGATGAATGGTGTGGTTGAAGGGACCGCTATGGTCCCCGCGAAGGCTCAGCGGGACGGGGTACCCAATCTGGAACGGCTGGGGCGACGCCAGCGCTGAGGCCGCGAGACTGGCGATGAGGGCCGCGACGAGCTTGGTCGCTGCGAGCATGCGTACTACGTCGTCTCGTGCAAAATGCAAAGTGGTGCGGCGTCGCGACCTCCGCTAGCTGTCGTGAGTAACCCACGCTGACCCAGTCACGCGTGAGATCCGTTGCCAAGATGGTCACAATGACAAAGATATTCGCTTAGAAAATACAATTTGCGTATTGAATCGAGCTATAGTGACCGAATTACGTGTTTTTCTAGGATTCCAGTACTTGAATAGGACAATTCGCTGCAGCGTATGCACGGAATGATCTGAGAAGATCTGAGTTGGCAGCGCCGTCGTAGAAAGGCGCCCTTATCGTTCCCCTTTTCCTATTAAATAGTACGTTTACAGTACCCGTACTGTTAAGCACTCTGCAGAGCTGCATGCTCCTTGAAGCTTTGCTCAGCGCTGAGTACATGAATCATGTACTAACTTGGGGCAGAGCAAAGAGGTAAGAACGCTGCGTGATGGTTCCGCCTCTGACGGCGTCACACAGTCCGCCGTTGCTTTTGGGTGCCGGCACGCGCCGTCCATAAGCCTCCTAGGTACACCGTGCTCTGTACATATATTACCTCCCAGTACATACACAGTTTTGTTTTCTTCTCTACAAGGGATTCAACCAAGGACCTTGATTCAACTACTCGACACACATTGCGTTGCCTTCCACATGGCTCGTGCGATGATGCACGACTTGTGCAAAGGACGTCATCGGCTCTGCAGGACTATACACGCTGTACTGAACGTGGGGCACACTTCTCATGCTATTTCATACGGCAATGTCGCAGTCGTCCTACTCGTCCATAACCGTATCCTGGGTCTCGCTCCCGTGAGGCGGCGACTGCAGCATGTGGCTCTCGTTGGCGAACGACTCCTGAGTGTCGGTGGGGGCGTCCCAAGCATCGGGCTCGCCATCGATTTGGCGTATTCCTGGGCCTCGACCACCGCCGAGTTGAGGATCGTCATGAAGCGCGCAGCCTACAGCGACGCTGAGCCTCCGACAAGAATTATATTGTTCAAGTACCTTGTTTTCGGCCACTGCGAGCTTCTTCTTTAGTTCGTCAAGCTCGGCTCGGTGTTGCTCGACCATTCCGTTGTGCTCTGAAACGAATCGCTCGTAGTCACCGTGCGACACCATGTCTTGGGACGGGCTACGGCAACAAGAGACCGGCGTTTAATCGGAAAGAACTATGGTGGGATCTCGTACTCGACGATGGTGCTTTGGGACGCATCCAGCATGACGCGCGCGAGGCCCGTGATGCCAATGAACCGGTGGTAGTCGCGGCCCTTGTTGCCTATCATGGTCTAGCGCATGCTTGGATGTGAGATCCGATATCGATGCTGATAAAATGTATACCATCTTGGCCGCGAGCAGACGTTTGTCGAGATCGTCGCGCTACGACAAACGCGTCAGACGCGACAGCTCCTCCATCGTACTCGCCTACTTCGTCTAGCAGGCTTTGGTTGCGAAAGCGAAGCGTGCCGACTTCAACCTCGAGCTGCGCATTCTACGCATTAACAGTGCGACACCGGTCGTTTTCGCAGCGGTAGGTGCACCTGCTTGAGGAGCGAGACGACCATAGCGTCCTGCTTCTGGCGGTACTCTTCCATCTACGCGCCCCAGAATCAGACATCGAAGATGTATACTGAGAGTACGCTGCGCAGCTGCTCACTGAGGTTCTTGTTGACCGCATTCTACATGGCACGATGAATCGAGGAAAGCTGCGAGACGACGCACGACCATGTCGTCGTGACTGCGCGGTGGCGGCATGGCCGAGACGGGTGGCACGGGCGGAGCGTCGGTCGGGGACCGTGTCTTGGCCCCCATGGCATCGCTCGTGCGGGACCGTGTCGCCGGCCGATGGCTCTCCGCCTCGTCTATCGTCGTAGTGTAAAGAAAACATTTTCTGGGAGGATGCGTCAAGACCCATGGACCGCTTGCGCTTGGACCCTTGCGAGGGCGTTGGTGCTTGCTCTGGCGCGATCGCGCGAATGGTGCCAATGTACACGGCAGTGTCAAAGCCGGCACCGACGCGCCCGCCGACGCAGAGGATTTTCTACAACTCGATGTATGTGCGCGCGATCGCACAGAAAATTGGCGTACGTTGGGGGATAAGGGCAGGAAGGTTGCGCCGTTGCGGTCGGATGGCACGACGCCGTGGGTGTGGATGCTGGAAAAAGCGCACTGCGCCGGCGCTTGCACCGTCCCCGCAAAGGCGCCGCCAATCGACCGTTTGGGCGCGGCCCCCGAGAAGCTGAGAAAGCCGTCCGGCACCGGGACCATCTATGCCCAACATGGTAGAAAGAGAGAGGTGTGAGTACGTACGCTGTGCCGGGAGCGGTGGGTAATGTCGTTGTGAAGGCCCATCTCGAACGGCTGCAAGAGCTCCGTCCACTTGTCCGAAATCAGGTCGTACTCGAATACGGTACTAAACACCGCCGTCTTGGTCGATGTCCGAGGTTGCGATGCGTCGGCTTGCGAATACAGCTGCGACGACGGGCTCGCGAGTTTGTTGGACTTGGGCGGGCCGACGCCGCCGTGCAGAAGGACCTTGTGCGACCCGAACGGCACCATGGCTGCAAATGCACGCCTCGACGGGCGTTTGTCCGAAGACGAAAGGTGCTGGAACGACTCGGTCTATCGAGCAGTCAACCATGTGAGTCGCTTTCGATACATAGGACACGGACGGTCGGGTCGAAAAGCATGCCGTCGTTGTAAAAGGTGCTGGCGTCGGCAGATTGGCCACCAAAAAGAAAGATACGCCCGTCCTCCAAGACGGCGCTGGCGTGGCCCACGCGCGGCTGGATGTCCGCTCGCACCTCGTCGTCGGTCGCGACGTCAGCCCACGTAATGGTGCGCATGTCGGGCCCGACCATGAATTTCTTGACCTCAAAGCCGGACGGGTCCGCGAACTTTACCTTGTGCGGCGTATCCTTTGGCGTCGCGTCGCGGGAGGCGAGTCGGTTGCCAAAGACGTAGACAGTGTTGCCCACCGCGTGCATCGAATGAAACCTATGGACGGCGTCCGAATGTCATGGCACGATGGGAATAATCGTACCGGTGGTAGGCCTGGACGTCTTGGCGCATCCTTGTGAGCGACGTCCACTGTGCAACGTGCGCAAAATCAGTCGCGGCGTCGACCTGCGCGCCGCTCACTTCGGACGAGAGCGTGAGCAGCCACGCATCATAAAAGTTTTCATTCTCGCCGCGCCCGCCGTAGACAACGACGATGTCCGAAGCGAGCTTGGCGGCGGCGTGGCCGAAGCGCTCGGAGGGGCTGCGCGTCATCGCTGGGGTGGGCGGCGTCGCCATCTCCCACGTGACCTCGTACCGAGCCGCGTTAAGCATCGTCGGCTTTGCTCTTTTGAAGCGCGCAAGGCGCCATGTAAATCGTTTGGCCAATCAACGCCGCGGACGCGTGGAAATCCAAGAGTGAACGTCATTGGAGACTAAAAACACGCCATTTGGCCTGGCGGCAGGTCGCCCGCCACCTGCCCGCGATTCGATTCGCATCACATGATGGACGGCGCTACGTAGCACAACGCGCTGTATGCAGAACGAGACCCGTGGTCGGATCATGCACAGGTTGGGTGTCAAGGGCGGCATGTTGCCCTCACCCATACAAAGACAAAGTGAGTGGGTTGTGGTTAGCCCACCATTTCAGTCGCGTGGCGGCAGAGCCGAGACTTCCATGGGTAGCTTCCTACCGGGGTGTTTTTCCGTAATAGTTATGTGGGATCGCTTTGGATACATGTGGATAGGTAGACCCACTGCATCGAATACGAGGGACACAGATCCAGCCTTCTGGTGCTGCACAGTGTCTAACCGTCGCGAAGTCGACAGGATCGCCCGCTCCGACTTTTCGACGTGATGTCAGACAGCACAACTCCGTGCACATTATCTTGTCCACAGGCGTGCTGGCGCTGAGCTGGAGCTGCAGCTTTGATACCTCCCCGAATAAGCTGTGCGTTTTGCACGAAGATCCAATGCGTCATCCACCTCGCCGGCCGCAAACACCGCGCGTGGCGGCAAGCTCGGATATACGAATGAAGAGGAGCCGACTGTGTCGCACGCACCAAAGTCTCCCGCCGTTGCATTTTAGTACAGCGCGTACGTCATGACGGGGTAGAGCTCCTCCGGAAAGCCTTCTTGACGCTCGTCGGCGAGAAGCGTCAGGTTCGCTTGCCGGAAAATGCTCTTGTAATATGCGGCCGATCTACAAGCAAGATGAGGTGGCGTGCACGAGGCATCAAACATCGACGTACCGCGTCACGCTGCTGTCGTCTTCGTCGAGTTCATACGGCGAGCCATCGACGATGATGTTTTCTTTGATGCAAATGACACCGCCCGGCCGCAGCGCCTAGCATATGTGGACATGCGCGTTCGAAGACACGACATCGAGTGTACCTGCTGACACCGCTGCAGAAACTTGATAAAGTCGAGATCCATCAAGTGAGGGCAGACCCATTGACACCAAATGAGGTCGTAGCTGTTGGGCGACGGATCAAAGTCCTGCATACCCATGCACAAGAGCGTCTCGACGCGGTGCTTCTCAGCGCCAATGTAGCGAGGCGCGGCCTTGAGAAGGCGCGGGCTTTGCTCGAGCAAGTCGACAGACGCAAAGAGCGGGAGAAGCAGGTGCTTGACGACGCGGCCGATGCCACCACCGCAGTCTAAGCCACGTCAGCACAAGAAGATATGGTGGAAGATACTCGCGCACCGATTGCACGGTCGCGCTTGAAGGCAGGGCGCAGCGCCTGGACGCGTGCGAGAAACGCGGTCGAGCCTTCGACGTCGACGGGCGAAATGTACCCGTAGCCGCCTAAGACGCCGCCGACGTCGGGCGGGCAGTTCTCTTCGTCCTAGTACGTGTTTTCTGTGACGTTATGGCTTGCAAGAGAGCCATGAACCTCCCAGTAGTCGGCGCCTTGCGTGTACCAAGCGGCGGGCTTGGTCGCATCGTCTTTGATGTCAGCCAGCTTGGTCGTCCACATGTCATAGACCGAGCTAGCCGATGACCATTGACGAACGGCTGAATGATACAAGGACGTACGAGAACTCGAGGTGGAAGTCGAGGCCGACGCCGTCCAAGTCGGCTTGGACTTGCGCCGACACGCGCTTGAGCTCGTCCCAGTCGATCGGCATGATGATGCCACCACTGAAATGAGCTCACCCAATCCCGTGCGTTTCCAGGTACGAGTTTTTATAACCGAATCTTTTCGCTCCTGCACGACCAGCACCATAAGCACCTTCAGAAAAACGGTGTGCCATGTTTCTCCGACAAGAACGAAGGACTTGTTATTCGCGTCGTAGGACGTAATCGGCCAGTGGCCGTGGCCATGTACTAAAAGGACAGTAATTCGCTCTCGGGAGCCATTTCAGTTAACTCTAAGGGCACGATTGATGTCGTTGCCACCAGAGTCGCTTAAACGTGGCAGCCCAGTACGGTAACAACCCGACAAATTATTATGACGTGGCGCGCTCTTGATGCAGCGTTTGTGGGAAGGCGTACCTTTTTACACACGACCGCTAAGAGCTTATTGCCACCGAGTGGGCGAGACGCTTCTTTCCATGAAGTGACACCCTTACACTTGACGAAATTACCTCGTTGTTCAAGTCCCTGGAAAGGCATGTCTCGCAGTCCACGTGCCATTCTCCACTAACGTTAGAGCATGTTCACCGAGCTGGCGTTGCTGGTGGCATGGTGTCGCTTAGAAGAACTCGCTCCTATAAAGGCAACTGCTTTTGGCGCGCTATTTTTAGCCGTGTGACCGCGGTATGTCGAGAGTGAATTCAAGCCGAACATGTATACGCTGCGGAACCTCCTCCAAGACTGCAGCGGCAAGATGACGCGGACGTCGTGCGCCGCCGACAAGAAGAAGGAGACGCTTGAGGAGGTCTGGATCGCGCTCAATGCGTGGGTCGAAGCGCGGTACCAAGAAGGCAAGGTACACACACTTGGAACCTATCTTTTCCCGACCAATCCATGCCGAACTAGGGCGCGCACATCGCACCGTTTGGCAAGATTAGCTGGGAAACCCTCACGATTGGCCGCAATACGCGCAAGGTCCGGCCCATCTTTATGCTCAACGACACGTTTGGCAAGACGTATGGCCTCCAGTACAAGAAACGCGTGACCGTCCCGATTGTGGCCGCGATCGAGGACATCAACTTTACCAAGCTCGCCATCAAGTTTTCGAAAAACCTCACCAAAGATGTGGTCTTTTGCGGCGTCCGGGACCTCTTGCACAAGATTGGCGAGGTCGCGTCAACGGGGGCTCAAATGACGATCGAGATGACGATCGGCAAAATCGTCGCCAAGAACCGCGCGATCCACCTCCTCTTTGACCCGACGCAGTTTCCGAAAGCACTCGAGGTACACTATGTGGACAACGACGTTGTGGTTGTATATTGTCATGTAGAACATTGCAACCGCGTCCGTCGCGTCCGGGTGTCCGTCCGTCATTGGCGACCTCGCCGATTTTGACTTGACACTGGAAGACTGCAACCAAGCCGAGGAGGCCGGCGACATGCTTCTTCTATCGCCGGAACGCCCGCCGCAAGCGGCATCGACAACTCCGCGGACACCGCGGACGCCGCACCCGCCGCTGTCGGGTCGCGAGCCGGTCTCGCCCCGGCATGGCTTTGAGCAACCCACGAGCATGACCCAGCTGCGGTCGCCCCGCCCTGCGTCGCGCAACGGGATCGGCTACATGAGTGCCGAGACGCCGTCCAGAGACTGCACGACGATGCTCTTGTCGCCACCGCAAGTGCGCCAGCACAGTGCGTACAAGGAGCCGTCGTTTGACTTTTCATTCAAAGACGCAATCAAGAAGGAGCTCGACCGGTCGGGCGTTGAGATGCCCGGCCGCCCGATCTCGGTCGCAGACGCGGCGTACGAGCGCCACATGCTCCGCATCGAGAAGGAGGTCGAGGCCGAGGCCCAGCATGCGATGGATATTCATCGCCACCACATGCGCGACCTCGACGAGATCGCCAACGAGAAGCGGGCCAAGCGCCGGAGCGCCGAGAAGCTCCAAGATGACATCCGCGACCAGATGTTCGAGTCGATGAAGAACAGAGAGATTGCGCGCCGGTCCGAGCACGGGACCGACCCAGCCGAGAACACGTTCATCTCGCACAGCCACCACTCACGGCTCGGCTTCAACAGTCCCGAGACACACAAGCGCATCCAGGTCGATATGCACCACTGCTTACACGAGCAGGTAGGATGGAACGTGGGATGACGACGACGACGATATCTGCGCTAGATGAACGCCAAGGAGAGGGCACGGCGGGACGCGCGGGAGAAGGCGCTGCTAGAAGACAAACTCTTCCTCGAGAAGCTCCAGCGGGACATTGAGCAGGACCGCGAGTTCACGGTCGCCGAGCAAGAACGGCAACGCAAGGTGCTCACACAGGCGTGGGAAAAGGACCACTCGATCAAGGTGGCGCTGCAGCAGAGCCGGAAGGTCATGAACGATCGCATCAAAGGCGCGATCGCGCCGTCGGCGCTCCGGCACGTGCAGGCCGACGACAAGCCCGACTTCTCCGTCGGCTTTGATGTGCGCGCAAGCACCAAGTAGTAATGACAAGTCAGCCTAATATTGAATATGCATCGCTCGTGTGGTCGCTTGCGTGCATGTACTACGCCTCTGCTTCTTCGTCGACCTCCTCACCGTCGTCTTCTTCTTCGTCGTCCTCTTGCATCTCGCGCTCCATCTTCTCCCGGAGGATCTGGACGATCGCGTTCTGTGTTCGGCGCTCGAGCTTCTTCATCTGCTTTTCCAGGCTGCGCTCAAGGTCCCACGTCGGCTTTTTGGGCGCGATCGCCACGACCTCGTCCTCGGGCTCGGGGTCAGCGACGGCCGTCGGCTCGTCGGCCACGGGCGTCTCGACCTCTTCCACCTGCTTGACGGGAACAGCAACGACCTCTTCGGTAGCGGCGCCGCCATTCTCCTTGCGCGCGCGGGCCTCGCGGATGGCCTTGAGACGCTTCGCCCGGTCGTTGTCCATCGCTTCCTTGGGATGGTAAATACCGTCCGGATAATAATACGGATAAACCACACAATCTGCGATCTTAGAGGGCCGCGTACTTTCTCCCGCCTGGAGAGAGGTGTGATGGAAGAGGACGAGGCTGCTACTTGTATCGCTCGCAGATCGCTACGATACTCACGCTATGTGAATAGCAACCTTGGGCTGTGGTAGGAACTATTAGTGTGGTCCATGACATTTGTATCTGGACTGCAGCTTTGTTTAGCGCTGAAATGCAATCTTCGATTCTGTCCCCGGGGCTGGGAACTTGAAATATACCATGGACGTTAGCTCATGGGCGATCTTTGGATCCAAACGCTGCACGGCCCATCTCAACCTCGAGCCCTTGCGACTGATAAGAAAGATCGGCTGATTCAAAATGAAAGTAGCTAGCTTTGCCAATTCTAGTCGTCTTGCCTACTAGGCCAAAGTCTTGGTTAAAAGGTTGGACAGCACCCACAACCAAGCGTCTTATTATGATGGACCATTCCCACAACCGAGCCAGAAATGCGGGAATCTGGCCAGAGCTGCCAAGGAGAGCTACCAGTGCTGGTTGGGAGGGTCAGGCAGGTGCATACGTCATCGGTGGGCTGTCTATGCTTCGGGCAAAGTAGGATCCACACGGCAACTCTTGGCGTCTAGTCCCATGCTCCAAGGCCGAGGTGGCTCTGGCGTGGCCGCTTCGTGGCACGCGCAGCGCGAAGCTACACGTGGGCGCACGCTGATTCGCTAAAATGCCAACGGCATGTCGCGTTCAAACTAATTTCTCGCTTGGTCATTGGTCCAACGTATCCCTCTCGACACCGACCTCGGTCACGTTTTGTACTGCTTTTTGTCTATCGTTCCCTTAGTCTAGCAACATTGCACTCCGTAAAGCAAGGGTTTGGGATGGACTCGGCGCCTGGCTTTGTTGAAGCGCAGTATGACAGTTTCTTCTCAACGGGCAGAAGACGCAGAATGCAGGTGGACAGAAATAGATGATTTTTTCTTTTCCTCTCGTTTTCCTACAAGAACCAAAATGCAATATAGTTTTCTTCAATTTATTTGATATCCACCGACGATTCTCGAACATTTATTTTATGATTTAATCTTTGTATGCCATAGCTTTCTTCCAGGTCATTTGTGAATTTTCTCACACCCAGCAAGATGAACCAGCAGCGCATGACAGCCATCAAGGTCGGCTACAAGGGCGAGATCCACCGCGTCCGGGTCGACCTCGCTGCCTTTGCCTTCGGCGACCTCGAAGCGCTCTTCCGCGAGACCTTCAAGCTCGAAGCTGGCAGCTTTGTCATTCAGTACAAGGACAATGAGAACGACTGCCTTCATGTGGGCTCGGCCTCAGAGTTCGAGGAGGCGTGCAACGTCTTCCTCTCGTCGGGCGATGCTGTCAAGAGCCTCCGCTTTATGGCTGTGCCGACGATGGAGGCGGCCTTCCACGACAACGTGGCCGACCCGATCTTGAAGATTATCGAGTCGCTAGTCGAGAGCTTGCACCAGGCCATGGAGAAAGTCAAGAGCGAGCAATGGAAGCAGCGCAGCACCGAGCTCGCGGCCAAGGCCCAGGAGACGGCCCAAGCCACGGGCGTTGTCCTCAACGAGAAGATGCAGCAGACGGGCATTGTCATCAACAAGGCCTACCACAAGACGGTCGAGGAGTCCAAGGTTGCCTTCGAAGCCGCCAAGAAGAGCCTCAACGAGATTGAGTTTGAGCACTTGAAGAAGAGCTTGAACGAGATCGACTTCGATCGCCTCGTCAAGGACACATCGGATGGCGTCAAGTCGGCCGCCGATACGATTGCCGCATACGCCAACCAGCTTGTCGAGGAAATCCAGCAGCTCAAGGAGAAGACGGCCACCCCCGTCGCTGCTCCCGTCGTCGCCGAGGCTGAAGTCGAGATTGCGGAAGTTGCAGTCGAGGCGCCGGTCGTTCCCGAAGAACAGGTCGAGGCCGAATGGGAGCAGGTTGTTGAGGAAGCCCCCGTGGTTGTTGAGGCCACCCCGGAGCCCAGCGCTGAAGAGCTGAAGTGGGCCGCGCAGCTCGTCCTTATCCGCGAAGTCTTCCCCGACGTCGACGCTGTTCGCGCCATTGCACTCTTGGAGGCTGCCAACGGCGACGTGAACGTCGTCTTGAACAGTCTCTTCGAGATGTAAGCAGCGACCGACGCGATGGCACACGGTCTATATCTAATTTCATGTTAAGATAAGTCTATCAATCCCCACACGAAGTCATGTCATCGACCCACCCACCATCGGACTCGACTTGTCGACGTAGCCCATTGCACTAGTTTGCCACGTACCGGTAATGTAGCTTGTTCGGAAAAAGCATCGTTGGTCCCGCCTGGCCCTGCTGGACGCTACATTAGGATCCAGAAAAAGACCGTCATTCCGATTCACTGTGAAAGGAAGGGCAAGCCGACCAAATCTCGTTGAATTCCCTTAATCAAGTACATGTTCCCGGGGCACCCTTCGGGTCGGCCAGTCTGGACCGTCTGGAGCGACCAGCGATGGCACTGGACGTTGTATCTGGACAGCACTGGAATCAGTGCTCGGTGGCCTGTTGTCAGAGGTGTCCCATCCACGACGCACCACGGACTTGGATTTTGTGCAGAAGCAGAGGGTGATCGGTCGGGCCCCGGGGCACAAATCAATTTTGGCCCGAGCCCGAGGCAATGACGACGGACGTAAGCGGCAAGGCGATCTCGGGATGGCTCTTCCGGCGCACGACGACGGGCTTCTTCAACATGAAGGGCACGGGCGACTGGGGCCGTGTGTGGTGCGAGTTCGAGTACGCGACTGGCGTCTTTTCCGTGTACCTTGACGGGCAGAAGCACCGCCGGCTCTTGAGCTGGAAGGTGCTGCAATGCTCGATCCAGCACGTGCGCAACGACGGCCGGTACTGCATCGAGCTCGAGTTCGTTCAGCAAAAGAAGAAGGAGACGCTGTCGTCGGCGCCCGAGAGCCACGACATTGAGTGGTGGTTTGATGTGCTCACAACGTCCAAGCTCGCGCTCGCCGAGGGCCGCGTGCCCAACGCGCGCCTCCTCGTGCGCACGCCACCGACGACGCTGCCAGTCAAGATCGCGCCCGAGTACGAGAAGCGCGGTAAGGCGCGGACGCCGGCCAAGCCCGCGCTCCGCCGTCGCCAGCCGCGCCTCACGACCAACCTCTCGCGCTTTGAGCGCATCACGGTGTACGAGACACAGACGCACTTTTACGTCGTCGGCTCGGACCGCACGTACTCGCGCTTCCGCCTCTTCTCCCTCGACCGCCTCGAGGACGCGCCGTCGTCGCTTGACGCGATCTTCAAGGAAGACCCGACGGTCTACAGCTGGGAAGAGATGGAGGCGCTCTTGCAAGGCCTCGACACGGAGGCGCGCGCGGCGACCAAGTACGGCCTCGTCCGCGCCTTCTCGGCCGTCGCGATCGTTGGTTTTATCAAGTTTCTGCAAGGCTACTACCTCATCGTGGTCACGCAGCGCCGCAAGATTGGGTGCATTGGCGGCCACTTCATCTACGCGATCCAGGCGACGCAGTGCCTCCCGATTCGCCGACCCAAGTCGGACGGGTCGTCCTGGACGTGGGTCTCGCGCTGGCTCAACCCGAGCCCGATCGAGGACGCCGAGGCGCGGTACCTCGGGCTCTTCCACTTTGTGGATTTGACCAAGGACTTTTACTACAGCTACACGTACGACCTCACGCACACGCTGCAGCACAACATGACGACGGACCAGACCAAGTCGCTCGACATGTACGACTGGCCATTATTTCCGGATCGTAGTATTGATGGTGCACTAGGTTTGAGTGGAACCACCACCTCAACAAGGAGTTCACGGCGGCCCTCTCGTCACCGGCGAGCGCCGAGTGGGTCCAGCCGCTCCTTCTCGGCTTTTACGAGCAGCGCAAGTGCTCGCTTTTTGGCCGGCTCATTTCGGTCATCGTGCTCGCGCGGCGGTCGCGCCATTTCGCCGGCACGCGCTACCTCAAGCGCGGCGTGCGTAGCCAATCAAGAACGTGGAGATGTCATGCTGACACATGGCTAGATCGCCGACACGGGCAAGGTTGCCAACGATGTCGAGACGGAGCAGATCATCGAGGACGAAAACACGCACGGCAAGTTTAGCGCGTTCGTCCAGTACCGTGGCTCGATCCCGATTTTTGGGCCCAAGAAACCAGCGTGACGATTCCAAAGCCACCGATCCAGCGTACGCCGCATCTCTTCCATCCACTGGATATTTGATTGATACCGGTAGTCAACCGCATTGATCCGTCGTACGCCGCGACCCAAGCGCACTTCGTGGATCTCTTTGAGCGCTACGGGTCGCCGACGCTGGTCCTGAACCTCGTCAAGCAGCACGAAAAGGTGCAGCGCGAAATGATTGTCGGCACGGGCTTCAAGAGCGCGGTCGAGTACATCAACACGTTCATTCCGCACGAGCACAAGCTGCGCTACGTCGCGCTCGACTACTCGCGCCTGAGCAAGATGCGCGTCGAGCAAGGCTCTCGCGTTGAAGCCGTGCGCCAAGCCCTCGACAAGGTCGGCACGTGGGCACTCGACCAAACGGGCTTTTTCTGCTCGGCCCCCAAGCGCCACCTGGGCTCGGGTACGACATCTCGTCGAGGCAGCTGCTCATGCTGTCTAGGTGCCAACAAGCGCACGGCCCGTCGCGCGTCGCCCGCGCGGCCCCCGTCTTCCTATGGCGTACGATGATCAGCGTCCATCGCCACGTGATGAATGAGGTGTTTTGTGTGTAGCCGGCACCACCCGTCTCATCAGGCACCGAGCGGCCGTCCAGTCCGACGATTCCGCGCGACTCGGGCGACTGGCTCGAGCAGCACGGAGTGCTCCGCACCAACTGCATCGACTGCCTCGATCGCACCAACGTGGCCCAGTTTAGCGTTGCGATGCGGGTGATTATTGTCTCTTCGCAGTGCGGAAACCGATGTAAAAGCCTGTGCACGGTAGGCCCTCGGCCAACAGCTCTACGCGATGGGCATTCGCAACACGCCGCACCTCGAGACGTCGTCGCCGATTTTGGCCGAGCTCACGCGCATGTTTGGGCGCATGGGCGACATCATCTCGATGCAGTACGGCGGGTCGGAGGCCAACAAGAAGGTTGCGCCGTCGAAAGATACGATCAAGCACTGGGAGCTGCTCACGTCGATTCGTCGCTACTACAGCAATGCCTTTACGGACATGGCCAAGCAGGACGCGATCAACCTCTTCCTTGGCAACTTTGTGCCGCGCGCGTCCGAGCCGCCGCTCTGGGAGCTCGAGAGCGACTACTATCTGCACAATTTTCAGGTCGAGCGTCCGCTGGCGCTGCCCGACATGGGGCCCTTCCACCGCATCCACAACCTCGTCGCACTCAAGCGCAGCCACGGTCCGAGCTCCAAGGCCGAGTACCTCCGCCTCCGCGCGTCGCTGCTCAACGAAACGTGGTGGAAGTCGGCGGTCGAGGCGTTTGACGCGCCAAAGTTCTTTACCGACAAGCTCCTCCTTCCGAGCCCCGCCCACGGGGATGGCAAGCCGCTGCTCATGCGCAAGAGTAGCGCGACGAGCTCGGCCGTGCTCGAAGACTCGACGCTTTCGGAAAAGTCGCTCTTGTGGATGCAGACGCAGGACAAGGAAGAGTTCTTCTCGTTTGACGCGGCGCTCGCGTCGTCGTTCATGCTCCCGATCGCCATGAAGGAGCACGACCCGCACACGTTTTCGACGCCGCCACCGCCGCCGTCGTCGTCGAGCGTCCAAATCGGATCCAACAGCCTCACGCGCCAAGTGCGGTCCATGTCGGCGCCCGAAGAGACGCTCCAAGATGTCTCAAGCGGCTCGTCGCTCAAGCGCAGCCTTAGCAACATGCGGCTGCAAGAGCTGCTTCGAAAAGAGAGCGGCAACACGCTTGACGACGCCAAGGCCGCGCTCTTGCTGCCCCCGATGCTCGACGCGCCGCCGCTCGACATTGAAGAGTACGCGGCGTCGCGCGGCCTCAAGCGCGTGTACGTGGGTGCGGCCATGGGCGCGTCGTCGTCCGACCCGATCTATGACCGATACGTCGAGTCGGGCGAGAGCCTCTCGTTCTGGGAGAAGGAGGCGAAGAACGTCAAGTCGGACTTTATCTTGTACCTGCGCGACGCCTCGATTGACGTCGACGATGTCGGCGCTGTCTTTGAAGCCGCGGTGCGAGGCGGCTGCACGTACAAGATCCAATCCGGTGTCTACGCGGGCTTGGAGCAGCACGTCAAGGCACGCGGTCTCCTCTCGAAAAAGTTTTTCAAGAACGAGAAGGACCGCCAGTTCATCTGCAACGCGCTCGACGACGCGCAGCTCTGCGAGATGCACCCCGCGCCGCCGTCCGATATGGAGCTCTACGCGTCGTTCTTTGACGAGGTCGCGTCGACGCCGCTCTTGCCGCGCCTCACTGTCGGCGACCAGTCAATTGCGTCCTCGGGCTTTGAGCTGGATGCCACCCTCGAGGCCGAGAAGCTCAAGGCCGGCAGCGTCGTCGAAGAGTTCATTGATTGCAACGCCGTCGCAGACGACGTGCGCAAGAGCATGGCGACGCTCGTCTTCGTGAAAAAATAGGCCATCTACTTGTCACCTACATACACATACTTAGTCCATGTACATTCTTGCGCACGACGTAGTCGATTAGTATACTAACTCGAGTCGATCCCAGGACAGTAGATGCTGTCTATACCCGCCTCGTAACCCGACTTGAACGCCAAGCACCTTGCCCTCTCGACGTACCAAGTCGCTCACTTGTGCCACTGCAAATCGTGTCCAGTCGATCGTCTTCGGCCAAACACGAGTCGATCTTTCGATTGAACGCTAGTCGTTTATGTACTATTTATTAGTCGTTCCAGTCGTCGACTAGGGTAGCTGGTGTATCTTTTTTCCAAGCGACGCCGCCGACATGTCGTTCCGCGAGCTGCGCAACCTGACGGAGATGATGCGGGCGCTGGGGTATCCGCGGCCCGTGTCGGTGGAGAACTTCCGGACGCCCAACTTTGAGCTTGTCTCGGACCTGCTCTACTGGATGGCGAAGAAGTACGACCCGAGCTCGAGCGTCACGGAAGAGATCGACACGGAGGAAGACCGCATTGCGTTCCTGACGTCGGTCACGTCCGAGTTCTTCAACAAGGCGCGCATCCGCCTCAACCCGAAGAAGCTCTACGCGGCCGACGGCTTCGCGGTCAAGGAGCTCCTCAAGGTCGCCAAAGTGCTCTACGAAGCGTCGCGCATCGACCCGTCGAGCCTCGAGACCGACGACGACGATCTCTCGACCAAGAGCCTCCTCGGCTCCAAGCTCAAGGACGCCAAGGCCACGCGCGCCCTCTCGGCCGAGATCACCGACTGCGGCGCCAAGCTCTTTGACCTGCTCGAGAACGAGCTCGACGTCCGCGAAGCGCGCTCGAACGCCCTCCGGTTCCTCGACACGGTCTCGTCCAACCTCGAGGCGACGCCGAGCACAAGTTTCTGGAGAAATCCATCAAAGAGCTCATTGCTGGCGTGTCGGAGAACGTCGAGAGCATGGAGCGGCAGTGCGCCGAGCTGGACGCGGAAGAGAAGGCGCTGAGCGCCAAGATCAAGAAGGCCCAAGGGGACCTCGAGCGCAGCGAGAAGCGGCTCAAGTCGCTCCAGAACGTCCGCCCAGCTTTTATGGACGAGTACGAAAAGCTCGAGAAGGAGCTCGAGCGCCAGTACGCGATCTACTGCGAGCGCTTCCGCAACCTCGACTACCTCCAGCGCGAGCTCGACTTGCACAACGACCGCGAGCTCAAGAAGCTACAAGAGAACGACCGGACGCTCAAGAAAATGCAGAAAAAGTTCCGCGACGACGAACTCGCGATCCTGCGGGGCGAACAAGAGGAGCCCGGCGACGCACCACTGCCGAGCTCGGACCACGACACGAAAAGCAACCAGCAGCAGCAAAGCTCCATGTCCAAGGCGAGCAAGGACCAGCCGGACGGTCGGCGCAAGAGTAAGGCGAATGCCAATGTCAACTCGTCCGAGAGCGAAGACGAGAGTGAAGACGATGAGAGCGAAGACGACGACGATGTGCCTGCCGCCGTTACCAAGTCGTCGGCGGCGGCCAAGGCGACCAAAGGCTCGGAGGACGACGAGAGCGAGGATGAAGTCTCGGTAGCCGACTCGATCGACAACGACGACGAGTCCGGTTCGGGCTCGGAGGTCGAGTCGAACGGCTCCAAGTCGGGCTCGGGCGCGTCCGAGTCGGGCTCCGAGTCGGACCCTGACTTTTAGATACCCACGAAAGATACGTAACTCTGTGTATAAGAAATCAGTCCGATCTACGTTCGATTACGCAAGGGAATTCGACGCTTTCGTCGCATGGTTGACAATGGTGGACCAGTTGCGTGGGTACAGGACGATGCCAGTCAGCGTCAGCGCCGAGAAGGAGACACCGGCTGCAAGACCGACCCAAAGACCGGCGACCCCAACAGCGTAGTAGAGCCCGACAAGTGCAGCCAGCGGGACGCCAACGACATAGTAAGCAAGCAGGCTGACGTAGACACCTAGTCGATCCAAGTAGTACAATAATGTCATGGCCGCGCACGACGATGTTACCAAGGTGCTGCTTGCCCATGGCACGTAGAATGCCCTTGGCCGTGCAGTTGACGCCATCGAGCACCTCGAAAATCGCTAGCACCAGCAGCGTGTGCTGCGCTTGCCTACGAGCGTAGTATGCATCAACGACGCATATTCCTCCAGTGGCGTACGCGATTGTTCTTGGGTCGTTGACGATCCACTTTGGGATGTAGGCCCGAGCCGCCACGAGCACGAGAGCTACACGATTGATACTGATACATTGATACAAAAGGTATGTAGTGACGCACCGACGAGCACACCAGTGGCCGCTGTGAGCCCGAGACCGAGTGCCGACATGTGCTTGGCGTGTGTGACGTTGTCGGCGCCAATCAGCTGCCCAACGCGGACACCCGTGGCTACCGAGACACCGAGAAAGATGCTGTAGACCGATGACGAGACGTTGGCGACGATCTAGACGAACTAATAGTGAGCAGGATGAATACACGAGGAGCTTCTTGTACGGCGTGGACGCTAATGGCCACCGCAGGATGGACGAGCATGCCCGCGAAGAGCGCCATGAGCTCGAACGCCCACCACTCCATGAGCATCATCGCCATGCCTAAACGAGCTTGGATATGTCTATTTGTATATACAGTCAGTACCTGCGGCACCGAGCTGCAAGAAAGCAGGCGCGTGCATGCTTGCTTGTCGCCAACTCGTGGTTTCCAGCGCCCACGAGCGGTGCGCAGACGAGACGCAGAGGTACAGTAGCGTGAGGAGCGCGAGGCTCCAATAAGAGACAAGCCAGGCGAATGCGGCGCCGTAGAAACCTAGCTCACTCTTCATCAATATACTACCACATTGTTTGTTGATTGGACGTACCCAGGGACGAGTGGTAGCAAAGGATGTACGCAAGCGCAACGTAGATGCCATTGCTGAGAAGCGCAATGTGCACCATCGGCGACGCAATGTTCTGCGCCAGTAGCGTGCGCTTGGCGAGCTCATAGAGAAAGAGTCCGGGGAGGCCGAAGATCGTGATGCGGGAGTAGGCGCCAGCGAGGGAGGCCACTCTGGCGTCCTGCCCGAGCATCTCCAGGATACTTTGAGCGTTGACATTGATGAGGACCATCAACACATATGCAGCTCTACATATACGAGCGACGGTCGACCGCAAAAGAAATGAAGTGTATAGGTACCCGACGACGAGTACACCCGTGCGCAGGTGGAGTCCGAGCAGCTCTGGTTTTTTGGCGCCAACGGCTTGCGAACTCAGTGTGTCCATGGCCGAGATGAGCCCGTTACCGACCGAAATCCCCGTCACTGTCGTGAGCTATCGAGAAATCTCAAGACGTATAGATCTTTGTAGGTGCTGCACCATTGTCGAGAGGGCGGCGGCGCTAACGTAGTCTTGGACCTCTGGCACTTCCAGGTGGCCGAGAATGGCCAGCGCCAGCAGCGTTGGAAGACTCTCCAGCACAAACGTTGCCATCTAGGAGCAAGAATATATCTTGATTGGACGAGGGATATTTCGATTACCAAGGGCAGCGCCATGCGCATCACGCCGAGTCCTTCCGCCCACGAATTGAAGGCAGGCTCGAGGAGCGGCGTCGACTCGATTGTCGGCATGGCAGCGCGTTGCAGTGTGCGTGCCAAAGATCGCACTCGGCCACTCGTGCATGTTGCCTCGAGACCACGCGCATTGTTCGCGGAATGGTGCCCCTGGTGTGGTGATCGGCAATGCTCCACGTCATGAGCGCAGATTGGCTAGACGCACGCCACTCGAATTCCGGATACGCGACAAGGAAACCGGCCATACGCGTCACCCCGCCTCAGTCCAAGCTCGAGGGACCGCGTTAAAACCCGTTGCTCGCACTTGTCGCGGTGGTTAAAGTACGTTAAACGAAACACTCAACGTTAAACCTACGAATGAAGCAGATGTGCGCTGGGGATTGCACTCCGTATCCAAACGTAGCGTTCGGTACTGTCTTGCTCTTCATATGCGCATGGTAGAGGCCCTTTGGTGAAGTGTTTTTATCCTCTGCATGGTTGAAAGTGCGGTGTTTCTAGCCTCGATGCTTCTTACACTCGATATGCGGGAAAAGAAACACCCCGCTACAAACCGAACTTATACCGTCCGTTCTTCTTGTTCCAAGGATCCCCAACATCCCTGGGCGTCTCGACAGCAGTACCTTCAGCACTTGGCCATGAAGCCGTCGTACGCTCCGCTTGGCCGGCACGAGGCCGCGCGCCCGCAGTACGAGAGCGTCGACTTTGTCCCGTACGACTCGCCGGGCCATTTGCACTCGCCTGCGTGCTACAGCGATGGCAACTGCCAGGAGTGCCAGCTGCAGCAGTACCCGCGGCCCACAACGGCCACGTCGCTCATTTCGTCGTTCCTTGGCCACGAGACGACGAGCGCGTTCCTGAAGTGGTGCCTCAGCTTTGTCATTGGCGTCATCACGGCCTACATTGCCATCTTCATCTCGACCGGGACAGGCTCGATCGTCAACTGGAAGTACACGCAGCTGAAAGGCGTCCTCGGTAGCCATACCTCGACGACATGGCGCTCATAGCACATGCGTGTAGAGCACGAAAAGAGTGGGCTAACATATACCGGCGCCGGGCTCCTCTTCCTCGTCCTCTTCAATGCGATGCTCGTGGGTGTTGCGAGCACGGTCATTCTGTACTTTGCGCCGTCCGCCGCCGGGTCGGGCATCCCTGAAACCAAGAGCACGCTCAACGGCGTCCTCGTCAAAGCGTGGATGAGCCCATCGACGCTCATCTGCAAGGTCCTCGTATCGATGAGAGCACCGCCATCGCTCACGCTCGCCCTCTGCTCGTAGACCATGGGCATCATGATGTCGGTGGGCGGCGGGCTACCGGTCGGCCGCGAAGGACCGCTCATTCACATGTACTCTCCTCTCTACGCTCTCTAGCCCCACATCCTCCTCATCATCGTGCTTAGTGGTGCGATCGTGGCCTCGACGTTGACGTCCAAGCGCACGTACCAGTGCTGGCAGTCGGCGCGGGTACACATCTATCTCCAGTCGATGCCTCCAACCCATCATGTCTGTAGATAACGCTGCTTCGTGAAAAGGACGTCCGGGACCTCGTCACGTGCGGTGCAGCGGCGGGCGTCGCGGCTGCATTTGGAGCGCCCATCGGTGGCGTTCTCTTTGCCCTAGAAGAAGGCGCGTCGTTCCTCTCGCCCAAGCTCATTTGGCGCGCGTTCTTTTGCGCGATGACGGCCGCCTTTGTCGGGTTTGGCACCAACGTCTTTGTCGGCGGCTCGTTCAACGAGGAGGCGAAGAAGTCGGTTCTCTTTTCGTTTGGCAAGATGTCGGACCCAAGTGTCGACCGCGCCGCGTACGTGCCGTACGAGCTTCTCGTGTTTGTGGGCATGGGCATTGCCGTACGAGAGCCCTGGATACCGTCGCTTGAGCGTGCTTGGATAGGGTGGAATCTGCGGCGCCATCTACACGCACCTCAACAACCTCCTCATGTTTCGCTGGAACTTGAAGAGTCTCAAGGCGCCTCTCAAGGTGCTGCACGTCGTGAGCCTCGGCGTTGGTGTCTCGTTCCTCTGGTTTGGCCTCGCCTTTGGCCTCGGGTCGTGCAAACCACTGCCGACGCCAATCGCGACAGCCCCCGAGAAGCTCGAGCTGCGGTCCGAGGTTCGTCACATGTCGCTTTTCAGTGTATTGACGCAAGCAATGTGGCGTAGCTGGTGCAGTTTTACTGTGGTCCAAACCAGTACAACGATCTTGCGAGTCTCTTCTTGACGTCGCCCGACACGGCGCTCAAGCAGGTACTGTCTCTTCTTTTGCGTCCTGGCGCCAACATTGATTGGTATCTAGCTCTTGCATTTTGGCGAAGTGGCGACCGCACCGTCCGACTTTACCGCGGCGTCGCTGCTGGCCTACGGCCTTTGCTACTTTCTCGTACATCCTCGGTTGCGTAAGCGATATGCTACATAACTGGTTAGGGCTCGGCACTGACGTTTGGGAGTGCCATCTCGGGCGGGGTCTTCATCCCGTGCATCCTCAGCGGCGCGGCGCTCGGACGTCTTTTTGGTGGCCTCGTACGCACGTCGTGGCTTGCGTTCAAACGACTGATGGCGTCGAGTTGTAGATGCAAACCGATGCCGTCAACTACATGCATTTAAGTACCTACTCGCTCGTGGGTGCGGCGGCGATGCTTGGCGGCGTGACGCGCATGACGATCTCGTTGACCATCATCCTTTTGGAAGCGACGGGTATTGTATCAACTTCGTATCAACGAGAACTCCATATGCGTGGTTAGGGGATCTGCAGTACGCACTGCCGCTCATGATGACGCTCATGTCGGCGCGCTGGGTCGGCAACTCGCTCAGCACAGTATTTTTATCAAGGGTTTGCGAGAGAGTCATGACACTGGATGTCCGTAGGGCTTGTACGACTTGCACATTCACGGGCGAGGCATCCCGTTCTTGGATTGGAGTCCGCCGTACGCGTTCGAAACCTTTACCGTGGCCCACGTGATGAAGGACGAACCTGTCTACCTTTCCAAGGTAGATACCATCGCGTAACGTCGCGCTCATGCGTCCTTTCTATAGCGCGAGACGGTCGGAACGCTCCTCAAGACGCTCATCGAATGCACGCACGACCATGCGTGGGCCGTTGTTGAAGAACCCGGGTCGCTCGTGCTTGTTGGCACATTGCAACGGTACCGCCTTGATACTTTGATGTTTTTAAAGAGGCTTCTAGGTCCACGCTGGGCGCGCTGCTTCTCGACAAGTCGGCGTGGCGGGACGAGCTCTTGCGCGGCTGTTTCGAAGCGGACGACCGAGAAGACTCGATCGAAGCCGCCGACTTTTCCAAGAACGATCGCGAGACCATCATCAACCTCGAGCGCTACATCAACCCGTCCCCGTTCTTGATTCCTGGTACCGGCCATAGAGGCGTGTCGAGGTCATATCTAATGCGTGTCTTCTAGTCGAAGCTTCGGCCGCCCAGGCATACCGCCTCTTCCGATCCCTTGGCCTCTCTTCCCTCTGCGTGGTACACAAAAATGTTCATTTGGAGAAGCTCTTATTCCATCGGATGGTAGGTGACCAAGTCGGGCGAGCTTGCAGGCCTTGTGACGCGCGACGAATTGTATCATTTCAGCCGCCAAGAGCATTAGACGCTCTCTTGATTAACGCTCAAAACATCTCCGTTCAACGCCCATCGGCGAGCATGCGCGAGGGCAAGAAGGAGAGCTATCGCCCGTCCTTTGGACGCCCCACTGGTCGCTGCAGCATCCAGGACCAACGCATCGGTCGGTCATGTTGGGTCACACCGCTGGTCCTTGGGCGCTCGGCAGGCAGGGAGGAGTCTGCGCGTGGGCAAAGATACTCGACGGCGCGGTTGACACGCGAAGGCGCGGGGAAACTTCGGGGGCGCAAAATAATGGCCAATCAGCGTCCGAATAAAATGCAAGGCCGCGACGCCCAAATGTGACGAGAGTCGATGGTTAGCTGGATTAAACTATGAGAGAGTGCGGAGAGTGAGAGTTTCATGGGGCGCGGGGTTCTTGGCCAGTAGACGAATTTATACAAGTCGAGAGCGATGGCCCGGAAGCGCAACAATCGCCGTGGCGACGACTCGGACGACGAGCCGGCGCCCGCCAAGGTCGTGGAAGAGACGCCCAAGGCCGGCAAGGGGAAGAAGGAGCCCAAGGGCAAGAAGGGCGGGAAGCGCCGGGGCGACGACTCGGACGACGAACCCGCGCCCAAGGTCGAAGAGGTCGACCCGTACGCCCAGGTGGCGGCGAGCATGGCCTCCAAGAAGAAGGACAAGAAGAAGGGCAAGAAGCAGGCTTCCTTTGCAGATGATGAGGACGACGAGGAAGAGAAGATCGTCGTCGAAGACGTCGAGGAGGACGAGGAAGACCCGTACCTTCAGGTCGCGGCGAGCATGAAGTCCAAGAAGAAGGACAAGAAGAAGGGCAAGAAGCAGGCGTCGTTTGAGGACGATGATGACGACGAGGAAGAGAAGATTGCCGTCGTGGAAGACATCGAGGAAGACGAGGAAGACCCATACCTCCAAGCCGCGGCGAGCATCAAGTCCAAGAAGAAGGACAAGAAGAAGGGCAAGAAGCAAGCGTTTGTCGAGGAGGAGGTCGAGGAAGAAGAGGTCGAGGCTGAGGAAGACGAGGTCTCGGTCGTCGCGGCCGAAGACGAGGCGGAAGACGAGGAAGATCCGTACGCTGCGGCTGCCGCGAGCATCGCGGCCAAGAAAAGCAGCAAGAAGAAGGACAAGAAGAAGGCGGCCATGATGGAAGAGCTCGCCAAGGCCGAAGCCGCCAAGGAGCAAGAGGAGGTCGCGGCCAAGAAGAAGGACAAGAAGAAGGACAAGAAGAAGGCCGCGCTCATCGCCGAGCTCGAAAAGACGGAGGAAGCCAACGCGGCCCACGACGAGGACAACGACAGCGAGGACAAGCCCAAGAAGGAAAAGAAGGAAAAGAAGGAGAAGAAGGACAAGAAGCTCAGCAACAAGGAGCGCCGCAAGCTCAAGGAAGAAGCCGAGGCCGTCGAGCGCGAGACCGAGTACCACCGCGCGGCCAACCCGCTCGACGGGCAGCAGTTTTCCGTGTCGCAGCAAGCGATCACCGAAGACGCCAACTGGGAGAACGCGACCGACATCCACATTGACAACTTTACCATCAACGCGCACAACAAGCTCCTCTTTGACAACGCGTCGCTGCACATCAACCATGGCGGCAAGTACGGTCTTGTCGGTCCCAACGGTCAGGGTAAGACGACGATTCTCAAGATGATTGCGCTCGGCGAGCTCGCATTCCGCCCAAGATCGACTGCTTGTACGTCGAGCAAGAAGTCGTCGCCGATGAAACGCGCGCTGTCGATGCCGTTCTCAAGGCCGATGCCGAGCGCTGGGCGCTTCTCGAAGAAGAAAAGAGCCTCTTGAAGAAGCTTGCAGAAGGCGAAAGCGAGCAGGCCGACCAGCGGTACGACGCAATCGACCGACGTTTACACCGAACACTCATGGCGTTGTGTCGCGTAGGTTGAACGAAGTGTACGAGCTCCTTGCGGGCATGAACGCCGCGGCTGCCGAAGCCCGCGCGCGTCGCATTCTCTTTGGTCTCGGCTTTGACTCGATGATGCAGGAGAAGTCGACCAAGGACTTCTCCGGTGGTTGGCGCATGCGTATCTCGCTTGCCAAGGCGCTGTACGTGGAACCGACGTTGCTCATGCTTGATGAACCGACGAACCACTTGGACCTCAACGCCGTCATTTGGCTTGACGACTACCTCCAAAAGTGGAAGAAGACGCTGCTGATTGTGTCGCACGACGCCGACTTTCTCAACTCGGTCTGCGGTGAAATCCTCCACCTCGACCAGAAGAAGCTCACGCCGTACCGCGGCAACTACGACATGTTCCGCGAGATGGAGGTCCAGAAGCGCAAGCAGGCCGAGAAGGCGTGGGAGAAGCAGCAGAAGCAGCTTCGCAACCTCAAGGCTTCGGGTACTTCGTCCAAGAAGGCGACGGATATTGTCAAGAAGCAGCGCGAGCCTGGTGCCCGTGCTGCCAAGAAGCAAGCCAAGTCGACCGTCGACTCGGCGCAGGATGGCGGTAACACGCTGACGCTTCTCGAGCGCCCGCGCGAGTACACGGTCAAGTTTTCGTTCAAGGAGATCACGCAGCTGTCGCCGCCTATCCTCGAAGTGCGCGAAGTGAGCTGGAAGTACGGCAACGCCCCGTACTTGTTCAAGAACGTTGACTTTGGTATCGACACGGACTCGCGCGTCTGTATTGTCGGCCCCAACGGTGTCGGCAAGTCGACCCTGCTCAAGATCATCACGGGCGACCTGAACCCTGAGGAAGGCGAGGTCCGTCGCAACGGCCGCCTTCGTATGGGTGTGTACAACCAGCACTTTGTCGACAAGGTACTCCTCCTCCTGAAACATCACAAGATGTTGATGGCGATGTTGTAGCTGCCCATGGGTGAGACGCCGGTCGAGTACCTCCGCCGCCTCTTCCAGGACATTACGTACCAGGACGCGCGCAACTTGCTCGGCAAGGTCGGCTTGGAAGGCCACGCGCACGAGATTAAGAACCGTCTCCTTTCCGGCGGTCAGAAGGCGCGTGTTGTTCTCGCCGAACTCATCTTGCTCAACCCGCACGTGCTCGTGCTCGACGAACCGACCAACAACTTGGATATCGAGTCGATCGACGCCTTGTGCGAAGCGCTCAACCACTACGACGGCGGTGTCGTTGTCGTCACGCACGACGCGCGTCTCATTGAGGCCATTCGGTGTACGCTCTGGGTCGTGGACGACATGGACTGCGTCGCGTACCCGGGCACGTTCCATGAGTACAAGAACAGCATTCTCGAGGACATCATGAAGAAGGCCGAGAAGGAAGAGGAGCGCATCCACGACAACCAGTCCAAGAAGGCCGAGAAGCGCGCGCTCCAGTTTGCCAAGAAGGCCTAAGTGTTAAAGAAATCGATTTCATCCACCGTTACTTGGTCTGCGGCAACAGAGACAACATCGTCGCGAGCTCGGGCACGGGGCGCCGCGTCGTCACATACGATGCAAAGGCTGGCGCAGATAGCCCCGTCGACTCGGTCGTCGGCATCATGTCGTTGATCTGAAGCGTCAAGAGCGCGGGGTCGCTCGTGTACGGTGCTAGGATCCCTCGGAGGTCGCTTGGCGAGAGATCGCTCGAGCCCGGAGGCGTCTCCTTGTGGGCCATGAGCAGCAGCCACTTGTGGATTGCTAGGCGGCGTCATGAGCTCGCGACAAAAGGATGCGGCGTCTACCTAGGAGCTTGTCGGGCATCTTGTCGTTGGAAGAGAAGAGCTACGTCGATGCGATGTCGTCAAGATTGGACTCTGGGCGAATCACTTTCGTACCGTGTAGTGCTCGACGAACCGAGCAAACGATGGCTCGGTCGTGTTGGGCTCGATACACGAGCGAAGGAGCGCCGTGAGAATTCTACATCTGTGAGCTAACAAGCACACTACGTGTACTTGAACGTACGTCACATTGACATTTGAGTCGTGCATTTCCCTACAGCATAGAAAGGTGAGAGACGAGCTGGCGTAGATCCGAAGGCATACCCCTTGATCGCCGCTTGAAATCGCGCGTGTAGTTCATAGATTTTTCGAGAAGGGACTATGCACATGAATGGAATGCGGGACCTGGCGATATGTGGTGGCACGAACGATTGTACTTGGCTTGGAGCTCTTCGACCTCAAAGATGGTGCTCATGGTGCGACGTTTCGGCGCTTGGATCTTTTGGCACCTACCCATGCCGCGGTTGTTGCTGGTGCCGCCACGTATTCGAAGTTTAGCGAACTTCGATAGCCAATAATATCGCACATAATACTTCGACGAAGATTCGCGCACAACACCAATCAATCAAGCATCGATGATGCTTGCTACGCTTCGTCGCCGAGCGTTGCCGCTGACGCGCGCCGGGCGCCATGCTCCGCTGCGACCAGCCATGCGCGTCCATCGACTCCAGGCGCCAGCGCGCGAGTTTTCGGTCCTTACAGACCTGCTTGCCCGCCTACGCAGCTGGTGGCAGCCACCCTCGGTACGCCCAACCGATGCTTCCGCCAGCCTCATGTGCACTGTGTAGATTCCTGCGCCCACAGAGCCTAGCAGACGCATCGTCCTCTCGACAGGCCGCCGCAACGCCAAGACAGTCTGCTTGGTCGACGGCAACAACCTCCAGTACTTTGTGTTTGACCCAACATGCCCGATGACGCAGTACGTCCGACTTCAACGGTAGGCGTGAGCTTGCTCACACGCTCTTGATAGTAATGACGCTTACGTTGGCGCGACGGTGCGGTTCCTCCAGCGACTCCGCCACCTCGTCCTCACGCAGCAGCCGGACGGCATCGTCGTCTTCTTCGATACAAGCAAGATCACTGACCGGAAGAAGGAGAACCCAGCGTACAAGTCGGAGCGCAAGCCCATGGAGCCTCGACTTCGGCCGCAGTTCAAGCTCACGGTATGGCTTTGCGATCTCGAGTTGTTCGTTGCGCTCATTCCATGTGCCTAGACGGCGGCTCTGCGGGCGCTCAACCTTCCTATTGCCCGTGTGCCCGGCGTCGAGGCCGACGACCTCATCGCGTCGTACGCCAAGGCGTGCGTGGACCAAGGCTACAACGCGGTGATTGTATCAAACGACAACGACTTTCTCCAGCTCGTGCAAAGCTCGACCGTGACTGTCCTTAAGCCCTCGCGCAACCAAGTGCTGCGGGAGAAGGACGTCCGCGCCATGCTTCACGGCGGCAAGCCCGTCTTGCAACCCGATATTCGTGCGCTCTGTGGCGACCGGTGGGGCAAAACGCCGGGTCTTCCTGGCGGCCTCAATAGACGCCAAGCCGTCGAGCTTCTCGAATCCTCGGGCGGCCTCCTTCCGCTGCTTGACAACCTTGACAACGTACGGCTTTCCTGGATTGACTGCATCGTATCGATCACTAAGGTGGCGCGGTAGGTGGACAACGAGACTCTGCGCCAGCGACTGGCCAGCGCGGACGAGCTCCTCCGGACGTCGTATCGCATGACCAAGCTCGAGAACGACCTGGCACTACCGATTGCGCTCAGCGAGCTCCGCGTTGCGACTAATTTTGACGTGCTCGAGCCGCTTCTGGGCAAAGACGCTGTGCGGGTCGTCAATAGCTCGCTGTAATCCAGCGCGAAATTGCATTGATGTATGTATCGATATGTACCCTTGTGTGTATGTATCATCGAAGCCAAGATCCAGGGACGAACGAGGAATGCGGTGGCAGACCGTCGAGCCAGCGACAACAGGTGTATAAGGCCTCGGCTCCGTCGTCAGCCTCCTCCGCCTCGGGTGACTCAATAATTGTTTGCATGACCGAGGATAAGCTACGACGAGCAGGCTGCTACTTTGACGTTTCTTAGGACGCTGGTGACAATAACGATGCGCCGTTTTGCTCATGGGAAAGGTTGCGATGCCGAGGATGGACGGTCTTGATTGTCAGGACGACCGACGACGTCGGTGGAAGCTTAGTCCACTTCAAGAATTCCATTCTGAACTATTTTCACATTGCATCGCCTACAGCCATTCAAGTATGCTAAAATGTCGTTGTTGCTGCATCTGAAACCCGCTCCATCTCGGTCGGTCCATTGACGCCCTTGCCTGCAACTGGCCCGACTCTTCCCCATCGCAAAGCATCCAGCGAAAATGGCGCTTCTCCGGCTGTCTTCCTCGGTTCGCTCCGGTGCATTCTCGCATTGGATTGGTGGTTCGAAATCATCTCGCAGCCAATCGCAGCGTGTTCTGCGTACGCGCCCATCTGATTGGGTCTGGTTCGAATTGCCCATCCAGCGTCGCATTCGTTCGTTGTAATAAAAACTTGTCCATCGTGTCCAAAGTCCAGTTGGGATACAAATATCTATATCTATTTTTTTCAAATGTCAAATCTGGATATTTTATTCGTTTGCATACAAACATTCAGTTCCCTTGAATCCTGCCATTAAATACGACTTTGCATGGCACCACGAAAGATCGGTCATTTTGCCATTTGCGCTCATGTGTCCTCTGCGCTACATCCTGCTCCTCGTCTCGATCCTTATCGCGTGCATCGGGCTCTCGCAGGCCGCGCTCGAGTCGGACGACGACTACTCCTTGAAGAAGAAGAAGACGGACGACGAGGACGAAGTGGCGGACCGCAAGTCGACCTTCCAGACCGTCGTGGACATGCTCACAGGCCGGTACCTCCTCAACGCCTACTACGGCCGGACCCTCGCCGCCAACTAAGCCGCCAACTATTTTATGCCCGACAGCGCAAGTCCGTTGGCGCCCATTTTTGTATAGTAGTATTAGCCCCCGTGAAGTAAATTGACCACGCCATTTTGAGTCTTGGAACTGCTTGCATCGTCATTAGTTGCAGCTAGCCGCATACCGCGCATGGGAGGCTGCCGAAGACCGAGGCGCACGGCTCGTCTGAGTTGCCTCGGACGAACGTGCTTGTCCCACACGGCGTTGTTATCAGGTGTTCGACAAAAACTCGGTTGAAGCAACGCGTATTGCAGTTGCGTAGCCAGGCTGGTGAGAGGCTAGAAGGCGCCAACTACACGCCATGGCCGTGCAGAGGCGTTGTTAGTACGTGTTATCACATCTATGGGTTGTACAGGCGCGCTTACGCAGGGCAGTCGCCGGTCGCGCACGACCGCGTGACTTCCGGCGTCTTGACGGTCGTTGGTGTCACGGCCGTGAGCTCTTCGTCCTTGCGCATCTTGCTCTTTTGCGGGTCCGTGAGCTTGACAGCAAACGAGCCCGACTCGTTCTTCTTGCCTTGCACAATGTTGAAGAGCAGCATCGACTCGGCCTCGTCGATGCCCTTGACCATGGCCTGGATCGTCTCGGCGTCGGTCTCGGCGCGGTTCTCGGCAAAGTTGGCGCGGATGGCCTTGCGCGCTTCCGTGATGGCGTAGACGTCGCCGACGAAGGCCTTCTCGCTGGCGCGGACCAGGCGGCGGTAGCCCCAAAGGGCCTGGCTGCGAAGGCTCATCCTTGTAGCAGTGGTAAAAATAACTGGCCCAAGTTTTCAACTTGGACATTTGTCCTAATTAGGCTCGATTTCGGACTTCTCGTCGGTTCATAAAGTAGATTCGGCATATGCCACCTGTGCCTCTAGCCCCTCGTCCTCTGCCCGGAACAGGTTCTTCCAAGCAGCGTCTCATGCGCACCGAGGTGCCTTGGCATTCCCCTTGCTATAAAATACATCGCAACTCGAGCTATACTCTCAGGCTGTCATTTGCAAGGATGCTTATACCGGCACGTCCAACCGGAGACATGGAAGCGACGCTGGGGTCTGCATCTCCAGACTGTCTCGTTTTTAAAATGGCATATGCCGAATAACAGCAGACGTCATAGTTGACAACACTATTGTCATTTCAAAAGTGTTTATGGTGTAGGATTAGTGATACAGCTCTAGTGCCTCCGTGCAATCCGACGAGGTTTTGGAGACTGTGGATGTGTGTCTTCTTCTATAAGTACTGTACCCGGCAGCTTACGACCGCGTGGGGATGACAACGGGCGGCGTCGCGTCGTCAATCGAGTCGAGACGGTCTTGTTCGTCGACGTACGTCTCGTCGATTTGCTCGGCAATGATGCGCGTCACGACCGCGTTGCCCATAATGTTCATGTACGTAGCAAACCGGTCGAGGAGCACGTCCATGGCGACGATCCACACAAAGTTGGCCGGCGCGACGTCGCTCACGACCGAGTTCCAGACGGCCGTGACCCAAATGAGGCCGCCGTGCGGGATCGGCGAGATGTTCCAGGACGTGATCACGGACGCAAAGACGATCAAAATGACCTTGCCGATGCCGAGCCCAAACGCGTCGGCGCCGACGTCGTCGCTGGCCATTTGCGACTTCATCAAAAACACGGTGCACGCCGCGAGGTAAAAGGCCGCGCCGTCCATGTGGATACCGGTGGCCACCGGTGTCACGAAGCGCACGAGCTGCTGCGAGACGGTCCGCGTCGCATCGATGGCCTGGATGAGCATCGGTAGCGCCGCGAGCGACGCCGACGAGGCAAAGCCAAAGTGGAGCGGCTTCTTGATCGCAAACACGTAGGCGTAAAAGCTGCGGCGCGTCGTGAGAAAGCCAAACGTCGGTAGCACAATGTAGCAGTGGAGCAACGTGCCGGCGGCGAAGATGGCTGTGAGCGCGCCGATGGCTTGCGCCGCGGCCGAAAAGTTGCCAAAAAACGAGTTCTGACGCACAATGATCATGTGCAGCGCCTGGCGGTACGCGAGCGTGAGCGCGGCCTCGGCCGGCGACAGAATCGTGTCGGCGGTCGCGTTCGCCGCGGCTTTCGAGAAGGTTTGAACGTTGGGCAGCGGGTTCGTGTACGTCGGGTCTTCCGGCAGCACAAACGACGACGCGACAAGGAAGAGGACAGCGATGGGCACAAAGTTGATGACCCACCCAATCATGATGAGGAAGATCGAGTTGAGCTGCCGAAAGAGGTCCAAAATCGCGTGGTTCGAGTGCGAGATCTTGGCGAGGACGACACCGAGCGGCATCGCAAAGACGACGACGCTGACGAGCGCGCTGTCTTGGACGAACGCACCGACAAGGTTGTCGGCCACGAGTTCGTTCATGAGCGTGAAGAAGACTTGCTCCGGCCCTTGCGTCGTCGCGGTCACGCTCGACGCTTGCTGGTACACGGCGTTGGTGTCGTTGATTGAGAGCGTCGTCTCGCGCGCCATGCAGGCCATCTCGCCCGTCGACGTGACACCGACAAAGCCCGTGAGGTTGGTCGTCGGGCTCAACGGGCACCCCATGGTCATGGGAATCGACCCGTTGTTGGTTGTGCTGCCCGTGATGAGCGACGTCGACTTGGTGCGGTAGACGCTCTTGGGAAGGAGCGACGCGAGGAGGACACCTTCGATGGCGGCCAGCAGCGAGAGCGTCACGAAGAGAAAGACCATGCGCGACCCGACCATCTTGCTCTTGCTGAGCTGAAAGAGGTCGGCGATCCCGATAGTCACGTTGACAAAGATGAGCGGCACGACAAGGCACGAGAGCGCGCGGATGAGCATGTCGCCCGGCAGCTCGATCCAGTCGTTCCACATGGTTTTGGTCTCGAGGTTGGCTTGGTACGACGCGATTTCACGCAGGACGTCGGCCATCGGCATCGCGTCAATCGCATCGGGCGAGAGACTCTCGAGGCGCGTCGCTTGGTCGACGCCAAAGGCAAGAACGACGCCGAGAACGATGGCAATCACGAGCCCGGGGAGGCCAAAGTAAATCTTCTTGTAGCGCGCGCCTTCGATCGTCCAGAGGTACGCGTAGTACTCGTCGTTGCCTTCGTGGGGCTTGCCGTCAAACCCGTTCTCGCTCGAGAGCATGGCCACGTCGCCTTCGAGGTGCGGCACGTCCGGGATCGTCGCCGGCGGGTGGTGCTGGTTGCTGTGGATGCTACGCGGCTCGTTTGAGTGGCCGGATGAGATCGAGTCGGCGCTGGACGGGTGGCGACCGCCGTTGGTTGATGCCGGCGACGCGCGCCCGTGGCTGCTCACCCCGGGCGACGCGGTGGCCGTGCGCCGGAAGTCCGTGCGCGCCTCGTGGGGCGGCGTCGCCTGTGGACGCGCTGCCGCGCGAAAGTCTGTGCGCACCTCCGGGGCGAGTGGCGACGCGTTGGCGCCACGCCGAAAGTCGGTGCGGATCTCGCCGCGGTAGACGGGTGTTTTTCTTTTTTGGGCTGCGACGAGTTGCTCGACATGAACGCGTCGGATGCTGTCGGATGCGAAATGCGAAAGTGAACCTAACGCAACGAGACGGGGGCTCGTTCTCCATCTGGCGCTGCACCCGGCGCCACCCTGCGTCATCTCTACCAGTTACAGCCATCGCATACAACGGCAAGTGACGGAGAGGAGAGTCTATGCACAATGGAGAGTCGTTAATACCAGGTTGCCCCAGTTGTAGTGCCAGCCAAGGTCTTCTTCACGCTCCATCGTCAGTGTATTGTGATTTGGGCGTGTAGAGGCCCCTCGACCAGTTTGCAGTTGGTCGAGCAACTTTAAGTCTGGTACCGGTACGTTTGAAGTGTGTTGCATGGCAAGTGCAACAGTGGCTCGGAAACGAGAGTCGCAGCGGAGAGCCCAGTGGAAACTTAGATCGGCACGACGCGTGCGTTGCGAGCTACAAAATTCATGCGCTTGGTCGAATGAAATGCTAGCCGTCTCTTGTTCCTCTTACTTTGCTTGTCGTAGCCTAGCAATCTATCCAGGTCTTAAAAAGACTTTCCTTGGGTCTCTGAGAGTGAGCTCGTGGTGCTTTGCTCTCGCTTCAACTGTTCAGTAGTACCGCACACCGCAACAACCGTGGCGGTATTCGCTCGAGGGAAGCGATGGATGATGACCAAGAGAGTCTTGGTCAGGAGAGTGGAGGAGAGTGCAACAGCACCAGTTGCTCCGAGTCCCTTCGGACTGTGACAGGTCCCTCAGCGCAGTAGCCTCTCGCTTATAATGAAGGAAATGTACGTCTTTGGATACACCAATAAAGAAAGATTCCCTACATATATTTTTTTGTATGACGCAACAAGGGAACTATACCTGTCCTCGCAGGCGTGTGTTACTGTGCAGTGTTTGGCAGGTGCATCCATCACGTTGAAAGACACGCGAGGAAGCCTTGACGACTTGATTCTTCGCAATGAGGAAAAGCTATGAGCCCGTCGACTACCGCGATGGAGTACTTAGCCCGCCAACAGGCCGCCGTGTGGTGGTGATCCAAAAGTCGAGTTTTAATGTCCATAAGCTTGCCGTGATCTTACTCGGAAGGGCATCATCATGTGACAGACACCCGCAGTGCTCGAAAGAATAGTACCAACAGCAAGTCCACGGGCCAGCGGATCGTGGCATTGCGTAACGGGACAAGACGATCCCAACGCAGCGTGCACCTCTACACCGCGGGCGCTGCCTTCTACTCGTTGCAACGGCATCTAGCTGGAGCGCGTCGTTCCGTGCAGCGACATCGTCCCTGCTTGACGACGACGGCCACGCGTTTGGAGAAGAAGCAGACACATTGTCTTGTTCGCATTGAACCTGTAGACTGTCCATGCTCAAGCTGCATGTAAAATGCAGCTCGAGTATACATCCATGACCGACCGATAGCTCCCATGGGCAGCCGAAACCTTCAAGCAGCGGTCCTTATGAGAGGAGCTCAGCTCTGTTTTACGGTACTAGGACGCTACAGGAAATCTCGTGGTTGGGCACACAAGCCCATGTACGCAGACATACATTAAGGGGTAGTATCGTATTCCAATCAGGTTGATCGTACCATGACCTGGAGCGTCTGCATACTTTGCTTGAAATATTGGAGCTGCTTGAAGTACCGCCGAACGCCGTTGGCCGCTCGACGCGCCCGCTCGCGGGGATCCATGGCCACAACGTCCTCAATGGCTTCGCAAATGGCGCGGATCGGCACTTCAAAGACGATGTTTTGGCCCATCGTGGCCTTGTCCGGCCACGGCGTGATGCCGTGGATGAGAACACCCGAGTCGTCGTCCACAAACTCGTCCATCGGAGGCGCATCGGTTGTCACAACGAGGGCGCCGGCCGCTCGTGCTTGGTTGATGTAGTGACCGAATCTATCGTTCATACGCCATGAGCCCATTGCAGCCGATGTTACACGTACCCTTCCATCGCGCTCGGGCACACAATGACGGTGGCGTCGTGCAGAATCTTTGCAAACGCCATCGACGAGACGTACTGACCAAAGTGAAAATCGACGTTCGGCAGCGGGCTGCCGTGCCAAAGGTCGTTGTACGTGCCGTTGGACCAGTCGTCGCTCGAGTACTGATGCAGCACCGGGAACTCGGGGTGGGCTTTCCAGCAGTTGAGTATTCGCCCCGCGTTCTTGAACGGGCTCTTGCCGTTGGCGTGGACGACGCGGAGCTGACCAAAATCCTTGGGCCCCATGTGCTTGGTCGCGTTGCGCATCAAGACCGTTGCGTCACTCGTCGTGTGCTGGGTATAGAGCACCTTGGTGCCGCGCGGGTTGTTGTTGTTTTGGTTGTACCTACAACGCCAATCGTACTTGTTGAGGACTGGAAATGAAGATTCGCGTACCAGGCCCAGATGCGGTTGAACGCGTCGCGCGACTTGGCCAAAACAATGTCGACGCGGTGGTAGTGCGTCGGCGTTAACTCGCCCATTTCAACGTTGGGCATGAGCACAAGCTTTTTGGTCGATGGAAACGACGGCATTTTATGGACGTCTTCCCAATAGTGGTTCATGAAGAGGATCGCCGAGCGCGGGCAGAGCTCAAAGTACGTGCTTGCAGTCCCGTTCACGTCGAGAAACGTGGCTTCGAGGACCCATTTGGGAATGGCGCGCGACTGCAAGTGTAGCGTGTACACCATGGCGTCTTCGCAATACCCGTGGTCTCGGACCCCCGTGTTGAGGTAAACGTCGACATCCGGGCACTTGCGCAGCTCGGCCAAAATCGCGCTGTGCGGACTGTCGCGCCCAAGCAAGTCGCGCGTGCTGCGCGCGTGCCACGGAATGAGCACGTCGTCTTCTTTGCGGCAAAAGGCGTTCAAATTGATCAAGTGCAAGAGCTCGTCGTCATGGGCTGCGTGGAGTGCGTCAATGTCGGCGGCGGCGAGGGCACCGTGGGGTTCGAACCCCGACCGGACGTAGCTCGTGCGGACGCTCTGTGCGGTCAATGATACGCCCCTCGCCTCGAGCAGTAAGTGCAGAAGCGTGATGACTGCCAGCGCCAAGAAGGCCCACTTGGTCCACGCGTCGCTCGCCACCATATCGACCCGTTGGGCAGCGTTTTTTAAAATGTCGATGCGTTGTTTTGCCGCACCCGAGCAGTGACGTAGGACAATGTATCATGTAGTATATCCAACACGTCTTGTTGGAACCCATGGATTATACTTTTACGTACCCACTGATTATACCATGTCGTACCCATTGATTAGACCTGAACGAGAGTATCTACAAGGCAAGGGCTTCAAGAAATACAGATGTATGTAAACCTAGTCGCCTTTATTCATTAAAAATGGAGTTGGCGCCGAACGATCGTACCAAGCCGTTTCTGGACGTGCGCCACGTACGAGCCGCCTTGCATCGCATTGTTGTGGAGGGAATCGTTGTGGCAGTTCGTTGACCAACGTGGCAGTCGCCCCGATCCATCACTCGACATATGTTTCTACCGAGAAACGAGCCGAGACGCGCTTTCAAGTCCGGAATGCTCTGTCGGGCAAGCTTTCTAGAGTTCACACGGCGTCGCTCTATCCATAGCATTTCGCCCCAGGTGCGTTTGGAGCCAAATAAGTTATACAAACAGTTAGTCGCACACTATGAGTTTGGTTACGGCCGATGCAAAAGAACGGGCGTGCTGTCGTCGTCATTCGTATGTCCGAGTCGGTCTTGCTCGTCAACGTAGGTCTCGTCAATCTGCTCGGCGATGATGCGCGTCACAACCGCGTTCGAGAGAATGTTCATGTACGTCGCGAACCGATCGAGGAGGACGTCCATGGCGACGATCCACACAAAGTTGGCCGGCGGCACATCGCTCACGACCGCATTCCAGACCGCCATGAGACCGAGAAGACCTGCGTGCGGCACGGGCGAGACACTCCACGACGTAATGATGGACGTGAGCGTGATCATGACGGCCTTGCTGAGTGTCCACTCGACCAGTGTCGGCTGCGACTGGACGAGAAAGACCGAGCCCGCCGCAAGGTAGAACGCCGCGCCGTCCATGTGAATGCCGGTGGCGACAGGCACAACAAAGCGCGTGAGCTGCTGGGACACGCATCGCGTCCCGTCCATCGCTTGGATAAGCATCGGAAGGGCCGCAAGGGAACAGCTCGAGCCAAAGCCAAAGTTGAGCGGCTTCTTCAGCTGCAAAATGTATGGAATCGGGTTGCGGCGCGTGGATAAGAATGTGAGGAGCGGCAAGAAGACGTAGCAGTGCACGGCCGTGCCCGTCGCAAACACGGCGACGAGCGTCCCGATCGCACGCGCTGCGGCGCCGAAGTTTTCAAAGAACGAGTTTTGGCGCACAATGACGATCTTGAGGAGGCTACGGAGGTTGGCGAGCGTGGTCGCATCGAGCACAATCGTCGTTGTCGAGTCCCACGCCGCCGCCGGGACCGACGGTAGCTTGGCCGGGAACGTCGGGTCGTCGGGGAGAATGAAGGACGACGCGACGAGGAAGATGATGGCGATAGGCACAAAGTTGATGACCCACCCGACAAGAATGAGGAAGATCGCGTTGAGCTGCCGGAAGAAATCCAAGATCGGGTTGGTTGCTTGCCGGCGCGACGCGAGGGCAACGCCGATCGGGATCGAGAGAACCACGACGCTCAGCAGCGCACTCTCTTGCACGAACGCGCCGAGAAGATTGTCCGTGACAAGCTCGTCGGCGAGGTCAAACACCACTTGGCTTGTCGACTTGTGCGCGCCGTGCGATGAGCTCGATGCGCGCTCGTAGACATTGTTGACGTCGACAAGCTTGAGAAAGCTCTCGCGCGGGAGGCACGCCATGGTCCCGTCGCTGTCGACACCGAGGTAGTTGGTCGCGTTCACGCTCGGGTCGTTGTTGCACGCGAGCCGCGCCGGGATCGCGGTTCCGTTGCGGACGTTGGCGTCACCGAGAAGGGCAGTCGACTCGACGCGGAAGACGCTGGCGGGCACGATGGACGCCAAGCAGACACCGAGGATCGCCGACAGGATCGACGTGGTGAGAAAGAGCAGCACCATGCGCCAGCCGACCAGCGTCGCCTTGTGCAAGGCGACGAGGTCTGCGATCCCGACGGTCACGTTGACAAAGACGAGCGGCACGACAAGGCACGAGAGCGCGCGGATGAGGAGGTCTCCGGGCAGCTTGATCCAGTCGTACCACATCTTCCTCGTCGCCAAGTTGGTGACGACGGTGCGCAGCTGCGAAACAAGGTCGGCGGGCGCCATTGCGTCGACGGCGTCCACCGAGAGCGGCGACTCGTGCATAGCTTGATCAACGACGAATGCGAGCACAACACCGAGCACAATCGCAAGGAGGAGGCCCGTCATGCCAAAGTAGAGGCGCTTGAGACGCGACCCGTCGGTCGTCCAGAGGTGCGTGTAGTAATCATCGTGGTACTCGACCGGCTTGGGCTCGGACTCGCGTTCGTCCGAGAGCATCGCAACGTCCGTGTCGGGCAGACCGAGTGGGCGGTACGGGGCCGCTATGGTTTGGTGCCCGCTCGAGTGCGAGTCGGCCGTCGACGGATGGCGCGAGTGGACCGACGACGACGACGGAGATGGCCCCGTGCCCCGGCTCCGAGGCGACGCCGTCGCGTTGGCGTGACGCCGAAAGTCCGTCCGGAGCTCACCGGCAAACGCGGGTCGGCGCTGCGGTGTTGACTGACTGCTCATGTATGATCTCGCCTTGGGACAATGCAAAAGTGACCTCGTATTGCATGTAATACGAAGTGCGAATGGTTCGATCTGGTGATTGCTCGCTCTACATCTGGGTAGAATAGCCACGTAGCACATGCGAGCGCAACTGTTGCGAGTCCCACCGTGGCCAGTGTGGAAGCCACGAGGCTGCCAGAAGGCAGGCTGGCCAGAAGGCGCTAAGAATAGGCGGACCCAGTGGCGGACCCACAAGCAGTCGCTGGCGTATTGCGCTTGTAAGACACATGGCGACCCTATCCTAGCTCTCCCTTGCCTGTGTTTGTGAATATGACGCACCGTGGCCGCGTGAAGTTGCCGTTGGCGGTAAACCAGCTGGTTACGGAGTACAGGCGTATTCGCTCTTGCCGCCAGTTGTCGTACCGTTCTGCTTGAAGCAGAACCATACATTCCGCCACCAGTCAGTGCTCAAAGTACACGGGCATAAAACCAACACTAGCTCACAACGAAACTTGATGGAAAGTCATCTGTCGTCGTCATGCAGTGTACCGCTGCTGCTAGGAAACCAGCACAAGTGAGCCGTATCGCTGATAGAGCACGGAAACGACGCAGTAGAAACGACGCATGACTTGGCAAAAGCGAAATCAAAGGGGAAGGCACGACACTAACGTGTGTACGTACGCCGATCACTCGTGGCTGGCGACACCGTGAACCAGATGGGTATCACCAAATGAAGGTGTGCAGAGGTGTGCAGGCCAATTGTGCAGGCCATAAACAGGCCCACTGGAGGGTAACCCCCTGTTGCCGTCAAGAAGGGCTAGGTTTGAGGTTGGGACGACGCAGCCGTGCTTGGATCAGGACCGATAGTGTCGCCCGTCACGTTTGTGCGATGCGAGTAGGGTTTTGAGCAAGTGTTTCAGCGCCGCCTTGTGTTTGTAAGGGTGCCTCGACGCACCCTCGTCACAGGTGGGCGAGCCTCAGGGTGCTTTTGGCTGCGAATCCAACCTCGACACGTTTTACCGGTGTACCACGAAAACGCTCGACAACAACGTGTACATTTTCATTTGCAGATACAAAAACAAGCACGAGAACACTCTGCAGTGTCGACAGACATGTCATTTTACTGGAGAAAGGCGTCGGTGCCGCCCGAGCCACGGTCGAGTTCGTCGATGTACGTTTCATCGACTTGTTCGGCAATGATGCGCGTGACGACAGCATTTGAGAGGATGTTGACGACGGTCGAGAACCGATCCAAGAGGACGTCCATCGCAACCACCCACACAAAGCCGATCGGCAAGTTGTACGTCGTCGGCAGGTCCGGCGTCACGGCCAGCCACACGGCGTTGAGTGCGAGGAGGCCACCGTGCGGGATCGGCGCACAGCTCCACGCGTTGATGACGCACGTAAAGAAGACCATGGCGACGCGGGACGGCGAGAGTGCAAAGTTCGGGTCGTCGTTCGCCGTCTGCGCCTTGAGCAGAAACACTGTACACGCCGAGAGGTAAAAGGCCGCGCCGTCGAGGTGAACGCCGGTGCCGATCGGGATCACAAACCGCGTCAGCTGCTGCGAGACGCTGCGCGTTGCATCGATCGCCTGGATCGTCATCGGGAGCGCCGCGAGCGACGAGGCCGAGCCAAAGCCAAAGTTGAGCGCCTTGTTGAGGCGAAAAATGTACGAATACGGGTTGCGCCGCGTGGTGAGGAAGGTCAGAATCGGCAAGAAGACGAGCGCGTGGAAGGCAAGCCCGGCAATGAAGATGGCCGTGAGCGTCCCGACGGCATGCAAGGCGACGCCAAAGTTGGAGAAGAACGAGTTTGTGCGCGTAATTGCCATTGGCAGCGCCACCCGCCACGTGGCGGCTTGGTCGATCGTGATGTTGACGGTCTTCCACGTACTGACGGGGTACGCCGGGTCGTCCGGCAGCGCAAACGACGACGCGACGAGAAAGATGATGGCGATCGGCACAAAGTTGATGACCCACCCAATCATGATGAGGAAGATCGAGTTGAGCTGCCGGAAGAGGTCCAAAATCGGGTTGTTGACGTCGGCAAACTTGCCGAGCGCGATGCCGAGCGGCATGGCGAATATGACGAGGCTCACAATCGCATTCTCTTGGGCAAAGGCGCCCATGATGTTGTCGGTCACGAGCAGCTCCAGCAGGTTAAAGACCACGTCGGCCGGCGTCGTCGTTGCATGCGGCAGCGTTTCTCGGCGGGCAAACGTATGGTTGACGTCGATAAGGTTGAGCGACGCGCGCGGCGCGGACGGTAGGCACGTCATTTGGGTCGAGCCGTTCCGGACGCCGAGGAACCCGCCGCCGTTGGGACAGCTCATCGCGACGGGGACGTCGAGCTGCTTGGGAATCGTCAGTGTCACATCGCCGGTTCGAAAGATGCTCGACGGAATGAACGCGGCAAAGAGGAGGCCTTCGCCGGCCGCGACCATGGTCGTCAAGAGGAAGAAGAACACCATGCGCCAGCCGACGACGGAGGATTTGTGCAAGGCGCAAATGTCAGCGATCCCGACCGTCACGTTGACAAAAATGAGCGGCACGACGAGACACGACATGGCGCGAATGAGGAGGTCGCCCGGGAGCTCGATCCACGACGTCCACGTCTGCTTGAGCAGAAACGTTGCGAGCACGTCCTTGGCGGCCGCAATGACCTCGGCGTCCGAGAGAGATTCGATCGACTGCGGGTACTCGCCGCGCGTGAGACTCGAGACGAGGTACCCAAGGAGCACGCCGAGCACGATGGCCAGCAGGAGGCCCCAGACGCCAAAGTAAATCTTCTTGTAGCGCGCGCCTTCGATCGTCCAGAGATACGCGTAGTACTCGTCGGTTGTCTCGTGCGGCTTGGCCCGGAACCGTTGCGGCGCCTCTGAGAGGATCACGACGTCGGGCTCGTCCAAGCGCCGAGGGACGCCGGCGGGCGGCGCCACGAACGAGCTCGCCGCCGTGTGCGTCGAGGCGTTGAAGAGGCTTGTGGCGTCACTGCCGCAGACGTACCCGTCGGCGGTCGGCGGCGCGCGCCGGAAGTCGGTGCGGACCTCGGCGGACGGCGGGCGGAACGGTTGCATGCCGGTGGTGGTTTGCTTGTGACGCCCGGCGCAAATTTCGGACGCAGTTCGTGTCTAAGAGCGCCCGACGCGAAACCGACCAATCACAAACGTGACCAGCATGCTTTTTGGCCAATCCGAGGGCTGTAAACGCAGTGTGGGATCGCATCCCGATGTAATGGGCAGCCTGTCGCGGGCGAACGACCTGATCGGCGACGGCAAAGCGTCGTACTAATCTCAGTCGTGGCAAGCTCTCCCCTGTACTCTACCTGTATTGCCCCATCCAATATCTCGAACACTACAATATTGAATATCCTACTTGTTTTGAATATGAGAGTTGTAGCTCCAACAGAAGCAATGAACAACTCGGATTGCGTTCTGGTCTTCGATTCGAACACGATCGCTTGCTCGTGTGTCGACGGCCCAGTAGATACACCGCCATTGGCTCGTTGGGAAACGCCCGGCGAGCGATTGGCTCTGCCAAGGGGCGCGGGAATTCGAAGGTACTCTTGGCGCCAACAACGAGTGGACGCACTTCAACTTTTGGCTGCACAGCGATATCCATGGCCCGCGGCCGCTCGTACGAAACGATTGCGCTAGGCGAAGACACGGGGCTCACGGCGACGGGCCGGACGAATCTTGCCGCGCTGAGTCGCCACCGGCGGTTCCTTCTAGCGCTCACGGGTGTCTGCGCTCTGTTTTACGCGGGCGTCGAACTCCTTCCGGCATGGGAAGCGCCGGTCGCGTCGACGACGACGACGACAGCGCTCAACCACCAAGCGACCGTCGTTCCCGAGAGGAAGTTTGTACCACGCGTAGACGACTCGGACGAAGTCGACACGTTCTGCGGCATCGTCGGCCAAGAATCCGGCTACATTACGCTCCCCAACAAGAAGGACGACCACTACTTCTACTGGTTCTTCGAGTCGCGGCGCAACCCGGAGAAGGACCCGCTCATTCTCTGGCTCACGGGCGGACCCGGCTGCTCGAGCATGCTCGCGCTCTTGTACGAGAACGGGCCGTGCGTCGTCACGAAGGACCTCAAGACGCAGCTCAACCCGCTCTCCTGGAACAACATTGCAAATGTGATCTGGCTCGACCAGCCCACCGGCGTTGGCTTCTCGTACGGTGCCAAGGACGACTACGACACGAACGAGAACCAAGTCGGCGAAAACATTTGGTACTTTCTCCAGGGCTGGCTCGCGGCCAACCCGCGCTTCCACGGCCGCGACTTTTACATTTTCGGCGAGTCGTACGGTGGCCACTTTGTCCCTGCGGCGGCCCACGCCATCTTTACTCGCAACCCGAGCGCCAAGCCCGACGAGCACGTGATTGCACTCCGAGGCATTGCGATCGGCAACGGGCTCACCGACCCCATCGAGCAGGTACCATTTCCCCGTTCTTGTTTGTTGCCGAGGCCTCACAGCTTGTAGTATGCGCACGCTGCCGATATGACCGAGAATGCGTATAACCTCACGCTTGTCTCGCCCGAGTTTGAAGCGTCGATGAAGGCGCAAGTACCCGCCTGCGTCGAGATGGTCAAGCAGTGCCAGACCAACGACTCTGTGTGTGCAAATGCGCAGGCGTTCTGTCACGAAGCGCTTGTGAACCCGCTCTTCTTGACAACCGGGCGCAACCCGTACGATGTTCGCAAGCCGTGTGCTGGCGGCCAATCCATCGGCTGCTACGACTTTAGCCACATTCAAGCCTTCCTCAACTCGCCCGGCATCATGGACGTCCTTGGTGTCGACACGAACAAGGTGTCGCAGTGGCAAGAGTGCAACTTTGCAATCAACGCGCAGTTTGGCAACGACTGGATGAAGGTCTACTCGCAGTACGTGCCGCCGATGCTCGACGCCGGCATTCGCGTCATGATTTACGCCGGCGATGCCGACCTCATGTGCAACTGGCAAGGCAATGAAGCATGGACCAAGCATCTGCCGTGGTCGGGCCATGCTGCGTTCAATGCAGCCGCCAACCGCCCAATGCTCTTCCAAGACAAGCCGGTCGGTGAGGTCCGGTCGGCCCAAGGGCTTTCGTTCCTCCGCATCTACGAGGCCGGGCACATGGTGCCACTCGACCAACCCGAAGTGTCGCTCGCCATGGTCGACACCTTTCTTCGCAACGAAGCGTTTTAATCAGAACTTGACATGTGTTTACCCATCATTTCGTCGGTCAACGGACGATGTCTGTCCTTTCTACTGAGTAGTCCTACTACAATTTGTGGGAGCGGCGTCGGAAAATTTGTAACCATGCAGACAGAGACGGCTGACGAAAGCCGACACATCGATGCAAGCAGACACATCAATCAAAACAAGGCGTTCCGTAGAATTAGACAACATCCAGACACATTGTACAGTGCATGTGTAAAAACTGCTTTTGTTATCGCTCACGAGGCGGCCGAGGACGGCGGCGACGGCTTGACGAGCGTCTTGGTGTCGATCGAGAAGGCGCCGAATCCTTGCGAGATGCGGCGCAAGTAGCACTGCAAGAGCGCTTCGACGTCGCGCATTACAAGCTCACAGACAACCTCGTCAAAGAAGGTGGCTACACGCGGCAATCTCAACCTTTTTGTGTGTTGCCGCGTATTGTACCGATGGTGGCAATGGAGTCGAGCCACGGCGAGCCCTGCAACGCTGCTGCGACGTCCTGGTGTCGGCCGAGATCCAAGGTCGCGGCCACGGGGTACGACGGGTCGAGCCACACGCCTAGCAACGATATATGCCACGCGAGGACACATTCTGCATACCAAGGAACTGCACTTGTGTAAAGACGCTTTCAATCCACTGGCTATATCTGCCGAGGGTTTCCTTGGAGCTAAGTTGGAACGTCAGTGGAATCTAAACACGGAAAGAACGCGTACATGGTCTCGAGCATCGCCGCGTTCGCACGCTCGACGACGGCGACGGCCTGCTTTTTCACCATGCGACCAAAGCCAAACGCAATGCTGGTCATCTTGGTGATCGCACTGCTGCCCCGAGCGCGTTGGCCACTTCCTTCTCCATCTACGCACGCTGCGTCACAGCTGATGCATTCGAGAATAGCAAACAACCTTGGCCGGCTCGGTACTACCCGCGGGCGGCTCTTGCGCAAGGTTTGGGAACGGTCGAAGGAGCTCGGCACGCTGGTCGTGCACGAGCTGGGCCATGTTCTTGAGCGTATGCTCAAAGACCGTCTTGTTGGCTATCGTGACGGGCGGCGAAAGCGCCTATATGCCATAGCCCATTCGAATGATATGGCAATGTATTGTGGAGGACCTCGAGGACACGAAGCTCCTTGGAGAGGACTTCCAGCAGCCGCATCTTGTGGTCGACACCGGCAAGGCGCACGCGGTCCATGAGCCTACGTCGTCGATGCATCATGCAGTTGTTTCCCATGATAAAAGCGCACCAGATCTCACGCGGCGCGTACAGCTGCCGCGTCAAGAAGCATCCCGAGGAAATACTTGCTTGCACGAGCTTCATGATGCCAAAGACGCGCAACGGACCAGTCGGCGGCGCCTCGTACGTCGTCTACGTCTGCATGATGCAGCGTCACACGCCACGCGCCACGCACCGCATCCAGAGTACTGTACTTGTCGAGGAGCTCGGCCGAGAGGTTGAGCTTGTGTGGGCCGTGGCTCCGCGGCGACTTCCTACGAGGAGCACAATGACCCATGTGGCCTGTCGCTGCAGCTGTCGCGCGCCTACAGCTCCATGGCCTCTTCGTCCTACATGGCCATGAGAGGCGCAGTCGCCGGTGATGGCGTACCTCGGCCATCGTCAGCTGGTCAAGCGCTGGGCCCACGACTTCCTCCATCCTTCTCGGATCGCAGCTCGAACAATTGACCAAAACGGCTGTGGCGTTTCCATTATCCGGACAGTACGGTTAACCACGGTGTACAAGAAGATCGGCCACGATGCGACGATGGCCAGCGATCCTCGCCCTGCTTCTCAGCACTCTGGTGATGGCCTCCTCTCTGGCGGCTGACTACGACGACACCGACTTCATCTTTGACGATGCTGATGGCGAGGAGAGCCATGCTGATCATCCAGCGGTGCGAGGCGCCTCGAACCACAGCAATGATGACGAGGTCGTGTAGGTGGCATGCGCTGTCGACGAGGCTGCCGGCGTCTGCTCGATCCCGTCCGTGCACGCGCGCGGCCTCGTCACGACAGCTCCAAGCGTCGCCTCGATTCTGACGGTGCGCAGGCGTCGATGCACCCGAGATGCAATGTTGCACATGTAGCATGCCCAAGCCTACGCGGGCGACGTCGACACCAAGCGCTTTGCCGGCGAAACCCTTGGCTACGTCACGCCGTGGAACAGCCATGGCTACGACACGGCCAAAACCTTTCGCCGCAAGTTTACCTACATTGCGCCCGTGTGGTATCAGGTACTTCTCTTCGATCGATCGATCGATCGACTTCTGCCCTATTGACGCGTGCGACGGCAGATCCGCCACGACGCCTCGAGAGCGCCCGTGCTCACCGGTGGCCACGACGTCGATGCAGACTGGATCGTCGCTGTCCGTGGTCGCGACGGTCTCGGCCCCAAGATTGTGCCGCGCTTCATGTTTGAGATGCCATCGCTCAGCGAAGCCGAGGCGTCGCAGGTCCTCTCGCTGCTCTTGCGCGAGGTGCAGACGCAAAGCTTTGACGGCCTCACGCTCGAGGTATCGCCGCCGACAAAAAGGTCATAGACAGTGTACCACCAACAGATCCCCATCGTGGACGTCACGGTGCCCTTCATCAAGGCGCTCGGCAAAGCGCTTGCAAAAGCCAAGCGCCTGCTATTGCTGGTCTTGCCCACGAGCCAGCGCAACGTAAGCAAGGACGCTTGCGTTTGTGCTGCTCATGCGCGGTGGTGTAGGGCCAGCTGTCGGTGGACACGCACCTCTTGCAAGCGTAGGTCTTTAAGCATCGGAGCGGATTTGACGTCGCTGCTCTAGCGTCCTTCCGCACGTGCATCGTTTCTCAGTCAACGCGTACGACTACTCGCCCATGGGTCCGAACGCGCCGCTGCCATGGCTGCAAGCGACGCTCCAGCAGCTCGAAACGTCGCCTAAATTTCTCATGGGCCTAGCCTTTTACGGCTACGACACCAACGGTACCGGCCATCGCCCTTCTATGGTGGTGACGCGTCTGCTATGCTAGAGGCCGTGATTGGGTCGACGTTCTTGACGCTGTTGAAAACACATACCCCCGACGTGCAGTGGGATGTCGTTGCGCATGTAAGACGTCGACAATGAATCGCCACGATGGTATGTGTGTGGCTAGGAATGCAAGTTTATCTACGCTGACGGCCGACGCCACGTGTACTACCCGTGCTTGCAGTCCATCCAAGACCGGCTCGCGCTCTACGCAGAGACACGGGTTGGCGCCGCGATCTGGGAGATTGGCCAAGGCCTCGACTATTTTTTTGATCTGCTATGAGAAGCAACGGTCGGCGACCGAGAATAGCAACCGCTGCCTTTCTTCTCAAGATAGCTCGTTGTCTATTTCTTGTTTTAGTCGCCAAGTTGCAACGCTTCCAGTATGACCCAAGAAGAGCAAGCGGCGCCGGCGTACCGATCCCGGCGCGTGCTTCTACCAGCGATCGCATTTGTCGTCGGCGCCATCGCGACGATTGTCGTCGTCGCGACAACCACCGGCGTCTTTGACTCCGCCGCGTCGTCGTCTGCGCAGGATACGTCGAGTGGGACGGAAGCCCCGTCGTCGTTCACAGCCATCGGGGACAATACGACCGCGCTTGACGTTACGACGACGGCGCCCAATGCGACACCAAGTGGTACTGGGGGCGCATCCCACCTCGGTGCAACGTCGACGCCGGTCGATCCGACGGCACCGGGCGAAACCATGAGCCACAACACGGAATCCAGCACTACGACGAGCGAGCTTGCAAGTGGCAGCGACTCGACGTGGGCGAGTGCTTCGTCGTCGGCGGCAGGCAGCGAAACCTGGGATAGTAGCGCGTCGGCGGCAGGTAGCGAAAGCTGGGACAACAGCTCGTCGTCGTCCTCGGGACCGTTTGACTGGGACGAAATTGAGCCACCGGCAAGCGCAGGGTCTGGTAGCAACTCGACGATGCCCGCGTCGGTTCACACGAACGACGGCAACGCGGCTGCGGTCCAGGCGAGAGCCATCCAAGCCAAACTATCCCAGCACTTGAACCGACTTCGCGCCCAGCAAAAGCAGCTTCAGCGCCAGATCCAGCTTGCCCAGAGGGTTGGCCAGGGATCGGTCAAGCCAACTCGATTCCGGAGCACGATGTCGGGTGGCGTCTCGGTCGGCCCCACGAAAAAGGAAATTCCGACGTCGGTCTCAGGTCTCCACACAAGCATTGCGAGCACGACCGCGTACAACCAGCAGCTCCAGGCGCAGTTGGCAGCACTCGCCGCCAGCCGTCAAAACCACAAGTGACGTGTGCAAGTGTTGTTGACATAGTTTCTACCTTATGCATTTTTTGCTTATAATAAACGTTCAAATGATACTTCGCGAATGTGAAATGGCGTCGTTGGCTCCTTGACGTCGGTAAAACCGAATTTCCTATCAAAAGTAGTGAAAAGCTGCGCGCTGAAGTTTGGAGTTGGTTCTACCCTTTGGCCATATCATCGAGGTGCGCTTGCAGCAAATTGCTGGTCTTGTCACTTGCGTCCGCATCAATGTCGATACGGGCGCGGGGGGCTGTAAAGGCCGGCCACATGCGCAAAACGACACTTTTGAAGCGGTCATGGCGCTCGGCGAGCGTCTAGACAGCACGCAATTCATCCATTGTCCGTAGCAAACCCAGATAACCTTGAACATGCCGGGGCGCAATTGGTCGGCAACAACGGCCCGAAAGGCCTCGTAGACGTCGGCATCGTCCAAGATGCGGGGAAAGAGCTTAAGGGCGGGCTCACACGTGTAGACGTGCGACGGCGACTCGAGCGTCGAGAGCACCGTCTTCATGAGGCTCATGTAATCCTGGATGATGGACACTGCCGAGTACGGAGCGATGATGGTCGATGGCAGCTGCGCAATCTGCAGTTTTTCCTAATACCATATCCCATTGTGACTTGCGCATAGTTTTTGCGGGTTTGTTACGGGATAGGGTAATTTGGGAATTTGGAGGCTCTTGATATGGAGCTGGGGTGGACAGTACGCTGTGAGCGCCTTCTTGAGCGCCCGCCACCCGCTGCGCCGCCGCGAAATCTCATCCTATATTTCAGATACGTAAATGCACGAAAAGGATGAAAATGATTAGAGTGCGGTACTTCGTCGAGCTCGACCGGGTTGAGGATCGAACCGCCGTACAGTGGCACGTCAAAGCGCACGACGTCTTGGTTGGCCGGTGCGAGCAGTTGATTCACAGGAATTTTGGTCCAACAACACACCATTTCGATCGGAACCAACGCATGGGCTGGGGGCGGTGCCTACACCACCGTGTGAGATCGTTTGGAGACATATCTCCGCACCTTGTATTTGGCTTTGGTCGCGGCTTGGTGCATTTCATGGGCGGTCTCGCTCTTGAGCTCGAGGACAAACTCAATAAAGAGGTAGAGGTCATCGGCCGGTGTGTTTGTGCGCACCTGTGTGCAGCTGTAAGGCACCGATACGAATGCATACGGTGACGTACAATAAACTTGTAGTCGTCGGCTTTGGTCGCGGCGCGGGAAAAGTACCACACATCTTCCTCCTTTTTCGACCACGCGACGGGAATTTCGTGGATGTTGCCGACGATTTGGCCTTCAAGGCGCCGGACGCCGTGGGCCGTCGTCGCACTCGTAGCGTCGGCCATGTCGAAGAAGCACACGCGCACCTTACGTCCAATGACGTCGTGCTCGCGCTTGTCGTATGGCGCCGGCACGCCTTTTGCGAGCTTGAGCGACACAATCGCTTGCTTTTGCAGCGCCTCGGACGCTTCGACGCCCGCCCACGCCTCCTAATCAGTCGTTTGGCAGTGGCTCGTGACGCTTGCCAACCTGCAGCGTTTGCGTTGGCACGAGCGCAAGGTTGCCGTGCTGTGCCATATTGTACACCGTCTAGTGAGATATCAACTTGATAGAGTGCCGGCGTGAGGTACGGACCTCGGGGGGCGGGAACGACAGCACATACTCCATCGAGTGTTTCTGAACGCGGCGCGCGGTGCTCGTCACGGCGTGTCGAAAGTTGGTCGGGACACCGAGCAGCGCCAGCAAGTGCGCTTCCGGGTCGCGCGGCGCGCCTCGCGCAATCTTCTTCATGCCCGAAATGGCGTCGCTACTGAGGTGCGTCAAGTGCTGCGTCGACGCCGACGCGCCCGAGAGCTGCTCCACGAGCAGCATGAATGCGCTAAACTCCTCAATGTCGATGCGGCCGTCGTTGGAGGTGTCGATCTCGTCGACGACCGCGTCAAACTCGTCGGGCGTCAATGGAATCTGAAGCTCGTGCACCAGCGCGTGGTAAAATTCGGCCGTGTCGAGCACACGGTTGCGATCCGCGTCGATTTGATCAAAGATCGCGCGCACTTCGAGCTCCGTCTTGGCGCGAAACACCACGCGCTGCTCGTACAGGCGCGTCTTCATCATGAGGTAAAACTCGTCAAACTCGATCTGCCCACTCGTGTCCAAGTCCACGGCTTGCATGATTTCACAAAGCTCATCGACGGTCACGTCGTCGCCGACGGCGCGGAGAATATGCCCGAGCTCGTCCTTGTCTAGAGTCATTACGACCATAAATGTACAGTCGGGAGACGACCGCCCACCGATCGAGTTGCTGCGATCAACGTCGTAGAAATCGAACGCAACTCGGAGAGCTTGCTTCATGTGTGCGAGGTACTCGGCGTCGGACGCATCCTCGTCGGTGCTCGACTCGGCGTGGCGCCGGCGCCTGCGCTTCGCTTTTGACTTGGCTCGATCCTTGTACTTGCGAAGGTCGGCCACGTTCATGCCCGACGAGTCCGACGACGCCCCCTCGTCGTCGGATGACGGCGGGCGTCCGTTCGAGTCGCTTGCATAGCGAACCTTCTTGGGCGTGGCCGGTCGCCGGCGCGCCGACCTAGATGCGCGCTTTGGCGGTGACGGGGCGCCAGCGCTGTCCGTTGAACTGGCCGCTCTCGCTTTGGACGATCTAACTCAAAAGCGCTAAGCAGGAAAGGGGCCAACGCACACATGTACCGCGACTTGGTCGTGCGCCCACTCGGGCGGTCTTTCAGACGAGTGGATTTTTTGGGCGGTGGCCTACACGTTCGGGCCATTTCAACACAAGGCGTAGCAACCTATAACGTACTCTTCAGAATTCGAGTCGCTGGACGGGGGCGGCTTCCTAGTGATGGGACGTGCTCTGGAGAGGTTGCAACAACTGTCCTTGTACCGGGAAGATGTTTTTTGCTTCGCCTTGGCAGATGCTCTATACCGAAGCCGCTCGTACGCTCGAATATTCGAGTTGTGGACAATACTTGGTTTTAGTTGGAGCCGCACTGTCGTCGCTCGAGACATCTTTTTTCTTGCGCCTGCGTTCCGGAAGATGTTTATTGTCGGGCTGGACATTGTAAAATACCTCGGCGGTTCGCTGCTATCGCTTTGCGGCTTTTTAGTTGAAGGACTAATTTGATCATGCGGATTGATGAGCAACCCGATGACAGCGAATCATTGCGCACTGCTTTTCGAAGTGACCGGTGCCTCGTCGCTTGAGACGGCTGGTTTCTTGGTCTTGGATCTACGTCAAAAGTCATGCCGGAACATTTTGCCTGCGGCGTACGACTTGGCTTTGGGTTGCGGGCTCTCACTGTCGCTACTGCTCTTTGCCACTGGTTTCATTTTGGTCGACTTCTTGGATGGCGCCGGCGAGTCGTCGTCACTCGACGCGGGCGGCTTGTTCCTCTTCTTTGCCTTGGGGCTGAACAGACTAGACAGACGACACAAAAGATAAGAGGAGCGTGCCGTGGCGTATGTTTACGATTTGATGGACAGCTTTGTCCTTTTCGGCTTGGCCACCGGCGCGTCCGACTCGGACTCAGATGCTTTAGCCGGCACTTTCTTGGATTTTCTAAGCGCAGAATCCAAATTCCCATCCAGCCGACAGCATATGAGAGGCGGTACGACGAGCTAAACGTGAAGCGAGCGGCCATTTTCTTGCGAAACGACGGCGACGCTGGCGACGCCCTACAATGTGACGGTAAATACTAGCGCGCCACGGATGCCGTACGTCTCGGTGCCGTCACTGCCATTGCCATCTTGTCCGAGAGCTCGGAGGAATTCGTCGTACGCCATCTTTCCGTCGCCGTCTGTGTCGTACTCGTCCATTAAGCACCGCAACTGTGCATCCGTGACGGGCATGCCAAGCTCTCGAAGCGCCTCTTTAAACTCGAGGCGCGTCACGATGCCGTTGCCATCCGCGTCCATCTCCTTGAAGATGTCCCGCCACTCGAGTTTTGTCTTCTTGAAGAGGCGCTTGAGCTGATCGTGAAGCTCGGCGACATCGTAGTGCAGTGACGGCTGGAGCCACCGGGCAAACTGCTCATAGTCGACGCCGGCATCGCCATCGTCGTATTGACACTCAAAGTGCGCAACGACGGCCGCGACTTCCTTCTCCTTTAATCGAAAGTCCACGATGCTGTTCTCGGCGAGAAAGGTCTTGAAGGCCCGGGGCGGGAGACGCAACCGCTTTTTTCGGTCGAGTCGCTTCAAATACTCGAGGGCGTTGTATGGTTGTTCGCCCGACCGCTTATCGTACGCACCAATCGCCTTGCGCATCGCATCGCCCATCGTTGTGAGCTCGTCAACGTCCGTGCGCGCGGACGCAAACTCGATAAATTGATAGTAGTCGATGCCGTCTTTTTTGCTTTTTTGAAAGCACGCGGCGACAGCTTTGAGTTGATCTCTCTTGAGCTTGATCTTGGCCTTTCCAAGACCTTTCTCGAAGCGATCCCGATCTAAAAAGCCCGACTCGTTGGCGTCGAGGGCCTCAAAAATGGCGGCGAGGTCGGTCGAGCTCCTGTGCTTGCCTTGGACCGCTTTGCAATGGCGTCCTGAATCTCGCGCGACAGCACGACGCTGCGCGATTGCGACGACGACTTGCTTTTTGTGTTTCGACTCGTTGTCGTCCGGCTCGCCGATCGCTGCCACAAACTCGCGGTAGTTGATTTTGCCGTCGCCGTCCGTGTCGTACTCGTCCACGAGGCACCGCACCTGCGCGTCGGTGAGGGGCAGCCCCATCGCTTGTAGCGTCTCTTTCAATTCGATGCACGAGATGACGCCGCTCTCGTCCGCATCAATGTCCCGAAACACGTCTTTGAGGCGAAGCTGGAGTGTCTTTTGGGCGTGGTGGAAGAGCGATCGCACGGTGGCGTGTAGCGCTTGGACGTCGAGATGCAGTGACGGCTGCAGCCAGCGCGCGCACTGGTCGTAGTCCACGCCCGTCACTGGCTTGGACTTGCCGCGCACATTGTAGTCGTAGCCAAAGCGCTCGAGGAGAGTCTCAATCTCGGACGCATTGAGGCGGAGGCCTCCGTGGTCACTGAAAAACTTGTCGGCCGTCGCGATCGGAATCCAACCGGCGTCTTTGGTATCGAGTTGTGCCAATTGCGTGTGCAAGTTGGTCGGAGCCTCGCCCGATGCCTTGTCGAAGGCCCGGAGCTGCGTCGTGATCTTGGACCGGACTTTATCGAGCTGCTTCGTGTCGGGCTGATGCTGGAGGTAGTCGACAAATGCGTAGTAATCGATGGCGTCTGTCTTCTTCTTGACGCCAAAGCAGAGACACAAGCAAGCGAGATGGTCCTTCTTGAGCTTGATACCGAGTTTGGCAATGCCCTTCGTAAACGCTGCGGCGTCGAGGTAGCCCCGCTCGTGCGTGTCGTATTTCTCAAACACGGCCGCAATATCGAGACCGTTCTTACGTCGTTTTCCGTGCACAGCGGTAAGCATCGCCGAAAGTGCACTTGGCTCAATGAGCGCCTTGAAACTCGGAATTTTCTTGGCATTTTTACTCTTGGTCGTTTTGCCTTTGCCGTCGTCGTCGTCGTCGTCGTTTTCACTGGGTGCGCCAAACGCGACCGCGAATTCCTTGTAGTCGATCTTGCCGTTGCCATCGCCATCGACCGACTCGATGAGCCCCTTGATTTGCGCGTCCGTGACGGGGAACCCGAGGTCGTGGAGCGCCTCTTTAAACTCGAGTCGGGAAATGAGACCGCTGTCGTCGTCGTCAACGGCCTTGAAGATATCGATGCAACGCAGCCCATGCGTCTTCTTGGCGTGTCGGAAGAGCCCTTGCACGCGTTTCTGCAGCTCTTTGGCTTTGTAGTGAAACGACGGTTGCAGCCACGCCGCAAATTGCGCGTAATCGACGCCGATACCATCGTCGTCGTTGTTTGAATCGAATTCAAACGAGAATCGATCCAGGAGAAGGTTCACTTGCTTGGACGTGAGTTCCATATCGACCGGTCGCGTGAGACACTTGCGAAACACGTCCGGCGCGAGCCACCCCCGCTCGTTCTTGTCGGCGCGCTCAAGCGACTCAAACATGTTGAAGGGCTGCTCACCCGACCGCTTGTCATAGTCAGCAATGGCTTCGCAGAGCGCGGCAGCAACCGCAGAGAGTTTTTCCGAGTCGCGCGTGCTCGTGGCAAAGTCCACAAAGCTGTAGTAGTCGATAGCTTGTCGGCGTACGCGGAAGCAGTCTTGGACGACCGACAGCTGGTCTTTCGACCATCCAACGCCCAGCTTCTTGATGCACTTGGCAAACGTCGCGTCGTCGACAACGCCGGCTTCGTCCGTATCGTACTTTTCAAAAACGCGACAGAGACGCGCGGGGCTGAGCTTGTGCTTGCCGGCCACGGCGCTTGAGAGCGCGCCAAGCGTGTCGGCATCGAGGAATGTCGCACCATTTTTTGACTTGGGCTTTTTCGACGACTTGCTCCCGACGCTAATGCGCTGCCGGTCGTTTGGCTCGTCGTCGTCCGAGCCGTGGCGCCGACTGCGCTTGACGAGTTTCTTGAACATGGCCAAGTACGAAAGATCGCGACCTTTCGTCGAGCATCCGGATACCAACGACCAGCGCGGCGCGGAGCCGGTAACGTGAACCAAGGGCATGATAACTTTGTGCGTAGTCGGTACGCTTCTACACTCGCCAACTACCAATGTCGGAGGAAGCGCTGTAGAAAGGGTAGACGCGGTCTCGTGTTTTCTATGTTCGGCGTACTCGGCACTTGTAGCTCTGTACCTGGTGCTCGACGACGACGTCACTGTATTCCATGAACAAGGACACTGTTGTCTTCATAGCGTCTATCTTATATTGTTGAAGTGCTATAGTGTACCCAATGCGTCAATGGGTTGCCGGACGCTTGGAGCCGCAACCGGATATATGCGATACCCATGGAAGAATGACGGTTCCAAGTTTCCCGGCATATCCAAACGCCTGTCCAAACGTGACCTTCTGAGCGTACGCTGCCTTGCGATGAACCTATGCAAACGCAAGTGGCACTTGGGTGCAGGCCTCTTCTTTCTTGTGGCAGCTGCTGTCATCCTCTGGGCCCTTGGTCCGTACGGCACAAGCGAAAACGATGCTACCCCGACGATCCTCACGAATGGCACAACACCAGCACCCATCGACACCAACCTGACGACCGCCTTTGACATTCAACTCAATTTAACAACACCAGCACCCGTCAGCTATACAAAGGGACCTCAATCCACGCCCACGACTAACGAGGCTACAACCGCACCTTCGACCACTATAGCACCGTCAAGCAGTACGCCAACTCCCGACTTGACGACAGTCATCCCACTTACCACAACCACCCTACCCTCAACAGCACAGCCTCAAAATCAACACTCGTCGGGATCGAGCTCAGTGACGACGGCGCCGGCTGGCACCACGTCGAGTCCAACGTCGACTCCATCTTCGACGACTTTGGCTCCCGGGGACACGCCGGTTCCAACGACGACGCCGCCAGCGAGCAGTAGTAGCCAAGACTCGTCGGGATCGAGCTCAGTGACGACGGCGCCGGCTGGCACCACGTCGAGTCCAACGTCGACTCCATCTTCGACGACGTATGTACCGACACATACTGTGCCGCCCACGGGTCAAATGACAACATCAGTGCCAACACCGGCGCCGACAACCGTAGCGCAAACCACGGCCCCGCCAAGAACGCCACTCGCAACAACGTCAGCAGCCCCGACGACGTCAGTGCCGGCGACGATTGCACCGACGACGTCAGTGCCAACACCGGCGCCGACATCAGCAACGCCTACGACACCAGCACCGACGACAGCAGTACCAACGATCATGCCACCTGCGACGCCATCTCCACCGAGTTCGGCGCAGGCGACAACAGGTGGCATTGTTAGTGTTTGCAGGGACGCTGTTTATTTCGTACCGAGCAATCGAGGGCCAGTTTGTGGCAGTGGCTTGCGCTCTCCAAGTGGCACGGCATGTCCACGAAAGGGAGACGTGAGCTTTGCTTCGTGCACACCAACCCTGAAATCGCACAAAAATGGCAAGTGTGTGGCCCCCGAAGATGCATCATGCGTTGTTATCCTCGGTACCACGTGGGGTTGCGTCTTCCCATCTGCCGGGTGCTTGTCAATCACAGCACCGACCCCATCGCCAACGCCTACCGACGACGATTCATCCGACGATGACTCCTCCAGTGATATACGTCAGCGTTTTTTAGCTGTCAACGCCGCTGCACACGAGCCAGACGAGACGATATTATCTTGGGACGACATGGCGAACATTGGCACGGTGTCCCGAAAAGTTTTGCCCGACGTGGCAACCACCTCGAATTCCCGACAAGAAGCCATAGCATCCACGTCCTATATTGTAAGCACTCGCCCGTCGTTGACGCCAAGCCCAGTCGTGGTTGGTTCGCTCAGCCAAGGTGTACCAGAGACGCGCCCGAAAGCGTCTCCATGACCACTCGTGTTGAAACGCATGGTGCCACTCATTCCTTGCGTAACCTATATGAATATTTTCATTTGGCTCAAGTTCCAGAGCTATCAGCGTGATGGCGCCCGGCTCAATGTACTTGAGTATGCCTCTACCGTGGTACCGGTACTAGTATTGCAATAGGAGCTCTTGATGCCCACAACTTCGCGTCCGCGGCGAGTTGTAAATGCAATTGTACTTGAATAGAACTCTTCGTCACTGAACGAGCTGCGGAGCTGACGGTGCGTACACGACACCCGTGCACATATTGGATCTCATGAGCCCAATAGAGACTTTGATCTGGGTCATTTTTCTTTTATGCCAACACGAATAGAACGTTGTTCAAGGTTTCATATATGCTGGTCTGATTCCGCTCGCTATGGGCAAAGAGCTGTACAGACTAAGACCAATCGTTGGCCCATCCACGGCACCTACATGAGCACGTGCTCCGCAGCTTGCAACAAGTACGGCGTCGAAATACAAGGCTTCGTGCTCCGCGTCGGTTAGTACGTTTAACTTTGTGCGCTACCATGGTTCTCCACCCACTAAAGATCGGGTGCACGATCGTCACGGACATGATCTTGGTGTCGGCGACCAAACGCCCTTTTTCTATCTTATAATTTTTATAACATGTAAAACCACCTCTTTTCCACACTTCATTCGTGCTTTAAATGCATATTTCATGCGATTTCCATCGCCGACCATAATGGGTGTAATGAATGACACGCCAAAATTTGAGCTTTGGCGTCACTTTGGAACCGGCAACGATGGCGAGCAGCTCGGGAGACGCGCGGCACTCGCTCACGACGCCCGTCTTCCTCCTTAAAACGTACGAAATGCTCGAGCGGTGCCCGACGCACGTCGCTGGGTGGACCGACAATGGCGAAGCGTTCGTCGTCCGGAGCAAGATCGACTTTGAGACCAAGGTGCTCCCGGTCTATTTCAAGCACCGCAACTTTCACTCATTTGTGCGGCAGCTCAACATTTACGGCTTCAAGAAGGCTCGCCTCGAGAGTTCCGACGTGTCGCCGAGCTGGGAATTTCAGCACCCCAAGTTCCGTCGTGGCGCCAAGCGCGGCCTCAACCAGATCCAGCGGCGCACGACGACGACGATGCCCGAGCCAGAAACTCGGATTGAAAACAGCCACGAAGTCGCAGCGCTGCGTCTAAAGCTCGCACACTTGCGTGAGCACTTGGCAAACCTCAACGCCGATATTGAGCGCGTTGCCCACTTGGTTGTGCGCAAGAGAGAGCGCGAGCTACAGATTCAGCGGCGACGTGCGGCACCGACCGACATCGTCATGACATCGTTTTTAGATCAAGTCGACTGGAACCTCGAGACCTAGTGTGCTGTCAAATGTTAGTTAACGTTCGTCTACAAGTGTCGTATCGTCCTAGCGATTCGAGTTGCTACGGAAAGAACCATCGAATGTATACAATCGTGCTTCATACCCGCAAGTTTTATGGCCCTTGATGACAGCGAATACTGCAGTGTCGAGTCACTCTGGTCTCTCTCATGGCATAAATACACAGATAGCTGTGCAAGTTGACAAATCGACATACCTGATTTCGGCTCAACATCTTCGTCGACGCAACCATCACCCATGAATTACGGAAATCAACACAGCGTTTCGAGAAATGCAGATACTTAATGCGCTATTGAAAGGCCCGGCGAGCGAATGACCAACGAGATTGCTAGTCTCTACGTATGCGAACTCATTGTAACAACGAAGATAACGCGAAACTAGTTCATATATACTAGTATATATATTGAAAGTCAACTTCACTTGACGATGGACCACATAGAAAAGAAACCCATAGTGGTAATGCCGGTAATAAAGTACACCGCCTGACAAGTATATAAATTGAAAGTCAATTCGGCGACGCCAGTGTGCACACATGCCATCCCGTCGGTGCCAACCCATGGAAACTGTCGATGACCTTTGCGTGGTGCTGCACGAGCCCATGAATTCCGTACATCCGCACGGATGCGTGCACAACGCTGTCGGTATCCATTTGCTTTCTCCAGTACACATGGACGTCCAGTCGCATCTCTACTCTCGCATCAGAAAGAAGCTCGCGCACGATATGGGACGTACTCGGTGTCGTCCTAATGCGCAGCACTTGGACCTCGTCCGGCGCGTATTGTAGCAGTTTGCACTCGCACCACGGCCCCACCTAGTGCAAGGAATCAGGTATCACATAAGACACAAAATGATGCACCTCGCGAAGGTACGAGGACGCTTGCACAACGCCACAGTCGTCGGTAGCGTCAACATGCAGCACGAGGACATTCAACGTCGATGTTTGCAAGACGATCCAGAGCTCGTCGGGAAACCGCACATGGGGGCACAAGAACAGTGGAAGAATTGTCAAAGTGCCCGGCGACGCGGTCAGAGGAATGTACACGGGGTGGGCGTCCTCGAGGTAGCCCAGTACGCTCGCCCGCGCCATGTAAGGCCGAGGGCCAGCCGTCCACTGGGCGCTAACCGAGCAACAGGCCCCGACGCATCGGACAAATCGACGCTGACGCGATCGACGAGGTGTCCCGTGTCGATGCAGACAACGCGGCAGCGCACCGGCGCCGGGTGTCGCTCGACGGGGAGCATTACAAGAGGAGTCTCCTTTCCGTCGGTCGCGACCTGCAGAGGCACGTACTTGGACGTGATACCTCTTGTCGGCAGCTTGGAGAGAACGTGCACGGAGTACGCGCCTCGGAGCAGCGCCGCAGTCGCTTGCCCCCGACCATCCGTTTTGACGATCTGACGACGCGCCCCACAGGAAGCACTTGCAATGATTTCAATGGATACATCCCGGACGCAGAGATGGGATGCCCCGATCGTCTACGTGTCATGTCCATTGGTGTCTCTCGACGCTCTTGACAAAATGTACCTGCAACTGAAACTGGACGGGTGCCGCTTGGGCACCATACGAACGACGAGTGGGCGAGGTGTCCGGAACGGATAGAGCGTGCACTGCACGGTCGACGCTTCGTACGCCGGGTGCGTCGCCCGAAAGATGTGCATGGTTTCGGGCTGCAATCGCACCGGCGGCAGTGGCCAGAGACCGCAACTGCTGCTGTGGTTGGCACGCTCTTTGCGTTCAAGCTGCTCGGTAATGAAGCGCCAGTCCTGAACCCAATCTTCATCTACGAGCGGCCGCCTCGTCGGCGTGGCCAACGCATCGTGCTTTAGACCCGAATTTGCGAGCCCTATGTGCGCGTACCAGCGCCAAGCAGGACTCGTCGCATGCGGTACCTTGCAAGAGAAGTTCTTTCTCACTCGACGAGAGCGTCAGGCGTGGCGACGTGATGTTGTACTGCCGCACGATGCGATGCGGTGGCAGCTGCACTGCTTCTCGCTTCCACTGCTGGACCTTGACCAAAATGGCTTGCTGAATCTTCCAAAACCGGCGTCTATAGAACAAGGCTGCCTGGTACAAAGTCAAGTGACGGGCACATACCGCATGACACGACGCAAGAGCATGACGGCGGCCTCCAATTGCTGGTCTTTGCAAAGAAGCTGGACGTGGTGCTGCACAACCCGTGTCATGGCCACTTGGATAACGCGCTCCACAAGCGCCATTGCGAGAGCGTGCTGGGCTTGCTCGCGGCGGCGCTCCTGCACGAAATGTGCTTTTTCTAGTCATATAAAAGTCGGTCGACATACGAAGAACGTGTATCTTCTCACGCTGAAGACGTATGACGATCGAGACGGGCAGTTGCGTCGCGATCGGCGGTTTGTACTGCAACACGCTGTCGACGAGTGCTTCGTATGAGATTTGGACGTTTGAAATTGGCTTGGAGGTCTCCGCGTCGACAAACAAAAGACTCGTCGAGACGGCAGTTTCTGGTGGCCGTGACGTTGCTTTCTGCTTGATCGGGCTGCTGCGTAGTGGCATGTACCTACATCGTCACAATGAGCGCTTCTATCAGTCTAGAGGGTTACCATCCACGCGTTTCGATAGCATCTCGGAGCTTTTCTTGGATCTGGCGCAGCGCCGGCAGTGGCACCGGGTCTTGCAGCGACTGCTGAAAGAGCAGAATCGCAGGGTCGCTCGAGCTCTCGAGAAAAATGCGCACGCCGGGTTGCGTCGCCGAGGCCGGCAATGTCGGTATCCGCTCGATCGCGAGCGTCTCGTATTGTGCTTGGAGATGTTTTTCCAGTCGCCTTGCGTACTCGACGTATTTGTGCTCGGCTGTCGCGTATTGGATGCGTAGCGTGTACGTCAGTGCCAACTTTGCCTGGATGAGCGCCCGCAGCGACTGGAGCAGCGTCAACGATGGCGAGAACGCGTCACCGAGCGCCACAAGCTGCCACTCGAACGTTGATTTGCACCGACGTAATGCGCAAAGCGCCACCGTGCTGGCGATATGCGGCACGGTAACGCAAAAGTGCGCACAGACGTTGCTGGAAGGGCCGTGGCCGCCGTCGACCGAGACCCATTTTACAACGAGTGGTTGGTGTCGTGCCATCACCGTCGTCGTTTGAACGAGAAATAGCATCGCATGCACGTGCGGGTGCAACGACGCCATCTTAAGGTCGATCTACATGTCGTATTTGGAACCACCAGCGCAATCTGCGTATACATACCGTCTCGAGGGTCGACGCAACGGTCGTCGTCGATGAGAGCTGTAGAGCGTGGTCGTCCGAGCTCTGTATCGACGAGTGTAGGGTCTCGAGGATCTCCCAGCGGACGTCCAATGTGTAGCAAGCAAGACCAAAGCCGGGCAAACCCGACACTTGGAGTTGAAATTGCTGGGACGGTGGAAACGAGTAGACACCAGCGCGCGTCGGCACATGCTGGTTGGGACGGTACAAGTTTGCAGGGTGGGCTCGGTACGCTCGAGGTAGCGTCTATGCAATAAGATGATGCTTTCATTTTGTATGCTTGAGGGAGTACCTGAAAGCGCTGCAGTGCATCGACGAGCGTCAACATATCCGTATCGTCCACGAAGCAACCAACGCCATCAAGATACTTGAGTAGTCGCTTGCTGGAAAATGGTGGTTGAAGGACAGCCATGGTCTCGGCGTGCTGTGACGACGCCAGCGTCGCCATGCGACGAAGTGTTTGCTGGACCACAGTCTCGTACGGCGCTCTAAACTCATGTCAGCTCTACCTTTTGTAGTGCGAGGATACCGGAGGCTCTCGGTGTGCAGCAGTTGCTGGAGCTTCTGCTGCAGTATTGCTATTTCGGGCATCGACTGCGACTCGAGCTGCGAGTGCAAACAAATATGCTGTGGCGGCCCCGACCGCGCGATATGGCAGAAAACTTCAAAGCTATTTGGGCGCGGGTAGGGTCGCCAGCTACCCCGATAGATGTCCAAAGCGCACACAGCACGCTACACGGCAGTACCTCTCGGGGTTGCAGAGCACAGGTGTCGAGGCATACGTTGCCCAGAGGTTTTGAATGTCGTTGATGCGATCAAAGGCGGTCGGTCCCGGCGGGCGCCGTGTCGCGTCGCGGTGATGATCGTCTCTGCTGACTGCAAACTCGAGCACCAGCTCAAAGACACTACCGCGCGCGCGAAACTGCTCGAGGACCTCTGACCATGGAAGGGCGTCGCGTCGACTTGCATCACAACCGCTACTTACTGCGTTCGTTCGGCAAATCATCTACGTACTGACGTACCTTGTCGAGTTGAAGTCGTCCATGTAGATGACTGCGGGCGAAAGGGGTCGGGGCAGCGCGTGCTGGCGCCAAGCAACTCGCCCGGAGGTCGTAAAGGAAAGAAACCGACCGGTTGCACTCTGTGCCGTGTCGTACAGATGGTCAGGTGTCGAGAACGAAACGTCGAGAAGGCGCGTTGAGTCGGCCGCCGTCGTCACAGTACAGTCTCAGTGCAATGTTGCCACGTCATTGGACGTCAAAGCACGAGCCCAGACGCGTATCTGTAGAAGCAATGACGACTTTTGCATCGTGTATGAACACGTACTTGAGAAAAGAGACCGTGGAGCCCTTTGGTGGACGGCAACGCACTCCCAACGGATACCATTGGCGGTGTAAGTGTGTCGGCCACCGGTACAACATGTCGGCGGTAGACCGTGTCGACGCAAATGCCATCGATGTACACATTGAGCACTGTCGTCTCGACCACGAGGACCATGTGGCACCACTGATCAAATGGGAGCGAATACGCGGTGCACGCATCACCATTGACTGAAGAGCCGTCAACAGCAATGCGTATCACGAGACCGCCGATCAAGAGGGTGGTGACGAGACGGCCATTACCAGCGTCTACAGCGCATACAAATTCTTGAGGATACTGACTGCACTGTGCATGTGTTTGTGTGTGTACCTACGCTGTTGGCCGCGGACGTGGCCGTGCAGCCATAAATGCACTTGTTGGTAGAGCCACAACACGACCACGAGATGAAATGACCGTCGTCGTTGAGGTGCGCTGCTTGGTGGCGCTTGGACGACCTAGGACACGTCGCATTGCAACATCGAGTTGGTTGAAGTGCAGCAGTACATGAACGTGTCGGGGACGGCTGCCCGCAGCAGCCAAATGCTAACGCTGCAGACGTTGCTCCATTTGAAGGATGGCAACCGTGATAGCGACCAACTCAGAGCCCCGTCACCGTACAAGGCAAGGCAGCAAGTATCCGAGGCCGTGTCACACTTGATGCGCTTTGCCTCGACCACCCGAGCACTATATCAAATACGCATCGCAAAATTGAAAGAGATGAATTACCGCCGACTTGGCGCGGTTGCCGGGCGCGCCACCTTCGATTTGACCTCGTTTGCCGTCTCAGGCAATATGTGCTTCTTGTCGTTGATGGCATCGCCACGATGCTGCGTTTCGAGAGTGGGTGATTCTGCATGGGATGCCACCTTGACACCGCCGACGGGGCGATGGGGCAGCGCGGATGTCGGCCGCGGGCGCCGCTTTGGAGCACTTGGCTGCAGCGCAAGGCCCTGATTTGATGTCGGTTTTGCTGTTCTTGGTGGCTTTGCTGCTTGGTGCACAACGAGTCGCCTCGGTCGTGCAGATTTTGCCGGTTTGGCGGCCGCTTTAGTAGGAAGCTTCTTGGCCGGATGTGTTTGAGTATGCGTGTGGTTGGACGCGGGAGATGGAACATTGAGGGCGCTGGTTGGCGCGTTCGCGATGCAGCTTGACTCTGGTACTATCAATGCACTCGGTGGCTCATTGTTGCTTGGCGGCCGCTGGCACGCAACTGCTGGCGTGCACTCGGCGCGAAGTCGGGCAGTGACGGGGTTGGCCGAGGTCGGTCGCACCGGCTTCTTGGCAAACGAGACGAAAGCTGTTGGTGCGCCGTACGCCTTGCGCAACCGGAGCTCGTGCTCCGACGGTACCGGGTGCTCGAGGAGCTTTGGCCGCATCGATGGACGGCTACCGTAATCGCCAAGGAAAAAACGACCGGCTACCGTTTCGCTGCCGAACCGGACGATCATGATGCGCTGAATTCTGGAAGGAAACGTGCATCAGAATTCTAGTACAGTACTTATCCGTGCAATCAATTGCGTAGATATTCCATTCGATTTTGACACCTGCGACCTGGCTTGCGATTACACGATCTCTTACGTCTCTTAAGATCCCCTGCTTGTGCTCATGAGCAGCTATCTGTGTTCATGTATTAATACCGGTACCGGTACCAATATCGGTCGAGATAACGACTCCTATTGGCTATAAAGCAAGCTTATTAGCCTATCGTATGCTATTCGGATTGCTTTGCAGTCGCCCTGAGGCGGCCGACTCGGCACATCGCGTTGAAAAATGGTATCGCTCATACTTGGTACATCGATATACGACATCTTGAGCGATATACAATACAATGCCAGCGTACAAGTCATGTGGCTGGACATAATTCGGTCACGGTGCCCATGGAATTCACAAAACGACGATCCATGATTGGCTATAATCTTCATCAATTGCTGCTGTCGTGGTGCCGTGACCGTGCTTGCGAGATACGACTAGATCGGCAAGTACACTAGTAAGTCGGATGAAACCCCTTCAAGCGTCGATCGGTCGCGCCAACGAAAAAGAGAACGTTTTTGAACAGGTGTCAGTGTCGAAACGGCGCGCCGCTTGGACTCCAGATCGTCTTTTTCGTTGGCTGTAGCATGGGCAATTCACCGTCAGGCAAGGCGGCCAAAGTGCTGCGACTGCGTCAAGAAGAGGTCGATGTCGATGTCGACCACCTCGGGTCGTTCTCGTTTGGTCTCGCGCGCGACTACGAGGTGCAACACTACATGCCGCCGCAGTTTCCGATCATTCCGCTACTGACCAAAGACCGCGTCATGACGTGCCAGCGCACGTGGGATCTCGTGCAGAACGCATCGACCGAGAAGATGAAGCAGTACGGCAAGCCGGGCATCGTCCTCTTCTACGACGAGTTCTTCTACCGGCTCTTTGAGCGCGACACGACGATGGCGCTGGTCTTCCCCAACACCAAGCAGCGCGGCGAGGTGCTCATCAAGGCGCTCACGTTCATCCTCGGCGTCCGCGCTGATGCGCCGTCAGACGTTGAGAACGTCAAGAACTCGTGCCGGTTCCTCGGCCACCGGCACCGGACGTTTATGAAGGTGCGCCCGCACCATTTCGCCACGTACGCCTTGACGATGGTCGAGGTCGTTATGTACTGGCTCGGGGACTTGGCGTCGCACAACGTCGGACAGGCGTGGTCCAACACGACGGGCTTCATTCTGCGCTACCTCTTGGAGCCATACCTCTACGAGCGCACCGACCCGTACGAGCTCTACCAAAACACAACGATCGCAGCCGTGCGCGAGATCACAGAGTCCTCGGCGGCGTCGGCGTCTGTCATGGACAACAAGACGGGGCGCGCGTCGTCCATGTCCAGTGCGCGCACTTAACAGCATGTGTCCACAGCGCAATCCATCGTTCGTTCTTAGAAGTACACTTGTTGATTTATCGCAAATGCCACGCCGCGTAGACGTCGGCCACGTGTACCCTATCGTATACTTTAAAGGTCTTGGATCATGGTACCATTAAAGAACGCACCGCGGCACTGCCGGTGCATCGCCTTGGACGGTTGCGAGGATGGCATCGAGCGCCGATGTCTGACACGAAGCAAGTCTACGTGACGCATAAAAAACCATTGACAAGCCAACACGTGGGCGTACGTGACACCCGACGTCTCGATGTAGTCGAGGAAGGCGGCATCTGCACGCCACTGCGACGACGAGACGATACCGACGACATCGACGCCGGACGCAAAGGCTTCGTTCGCAGCGCAGAGGTGCGCGATCAGCGCTTTGGGCTGAAACGTTTTCCAGCCGAGGCCGACAATGTAGCGCTCCGAACTCCCGGGACGACTGGTCTACGCTTAGAGATGTCAAACCACAAGCGTGCCGCTTGCAGTATATTGTACAATCGGCTTGACAATGGCCAGCTTGCAAAGGCGTGGTACAAGAGATAGAGGAGTCCGAGCGAAAAGGGCGTCGAGAGCTCGAACGTCTTGCAGACAAAATGGCCGCCGGTGCGAAGAAGCCGCGCCATTGTGAGCACTTCGCACAGTACGAGGCGGTGCATGACATGCTCCTGCACATCTGGGTTATAGACGTCAAACATCGGGACATCGTGCACCTGATGGATATGATTGCGAGCTTCTTGAAAGCCGCCATCAGCAACGACAAGGTCCAAACCTTGAGGATTTCCACGCAACGCCTACAGGCACGATGGAGCGCAATCGCCTATCGGTCGCTGTACCGTCTGCACAAAATGGTCCATGTTCGCTTCGACGTAGAGATTACCAGTGCCATCTGCACCGTACGAGAGGTGGAGCCGGGCGGTGGTGGCGTCGTCGAGGCGCCAGTGCAACGGATCGTCATCGGACTCGGGTCGAATCGAGATGCCATAGCCGCACGCACGCTTGGTGCTGTACACAAGGTACTCGGAAAAGCCACCGGGCGCACCACAGAGGTCTGCAAATGACCTCGTGCTCGCGCTCGTCAAGCCACAACGCGCGTTGAGCTCGGCCATCTTCATCGCGGACCGGTTGACAAAGGTAAACTTGCCGAGGTGCTCGAATGGGTTGGCGCGGCCACGGCACCGACGATACATTGCGGGCGTAATCACCAAGTTCTCGAGACTCGTTTTGCGCTCGAGCAGCTTCTCTAGCGCCTGGGCGAGCCGTGGCATCGCCGGCTCTGTGGTCGAGGAGGTTTCCAGCACCATGTCGACGGCTGCTGCATCCGTTGACGCGAGATACACGATCGTTTCCGGATGGTACATTGAAGCGCGTACCTTGGACGCAGCGCGTTCGCGGGTCGGTGAGCGCTTGCGCTTGCCAAAGCTGGCAAAGCCCATGCAGGCGGCCATCGCATCGGCTTCGTCCATCGCTGCAAAAAGGCAAACCTCTCGCATCGCATATTTGGCTTCCAAATATACGTTGTTACAGGTTTGCCACCACCACGTGCCCATGACGTGGCAAGCTAACTGACAAGCAAGCTTGGTTGGGAGGACAGGACGAGGGCTTTTGGGTTGCTTTCGCGATTCGTTTTTCAATGACAGAAGCGGACATCAATCTCTTGAAGAAGAGCACGCCGTATTCCAACGTAGCAGAAGTCTAAACCACCGTCCAAGGCTTCAACACTGTGCAAGTGTTCCTCAATCGACCCCCATTCTGTCCGGTTTGAAGCTCGGTCGTGCATTCTTCTAAAAGTAGTCCGCTGCATCCAACGAGCCACCTGGGCGATGTCGCAGTCGTACCTTGCACTGCTGGCATAGCGCATAGAAGATGCAGGCGGCGTCCGGCCATCGTGAAAACGGTGCCTGGATCCAGCGGTTTAAATAGGTTGGTGCTCGATTGCTCCAATCATGGGCGAGATGCGGTGGAACCGACCAATCCGCTCCAAGCAGGATCACAACGCACCAATCAGCGCGTTCAACGTCCTGGCCGCTATATTTAGAAGGTCGGCGATCAGCACCGGGCTGCAATTCATCCTGCGATTTCTCGGCCACGGCGACGGCAGCACCGACGCCTGCCCACCGCCCACTCGCGCCTGCCA